GTCTGGGGTATTCAGGTAATAGCCTAGAAAGCCTAAAACAGCAGTTGAAGAGGTGTGGAGGATGACTCAGGGTTTGGGGCTTGATTATGCTGGCCTGTAAGTTAGACAGGGCTCTAATTATATATAAAAAGTATGCTTTACGTTGCTGGTACGCTTCATCTATCAGCACTGAACTCATGGTTGTCTTACTGTGTTCTGTTGGAAAGCTCTGATCTCATAAGTGATGAGACAAAGCCAGAAAAAGAGTGACTCATTGGTCCAGCCCTGCCGAGAATCACTAGCAGAGCAGGGATTATGACCCACAGCACCTGACACTATTAGCAGACTAGCTGTTCTGGTCACACTTTGCAGTTTATCAGAGACTTTGTACTCCGTGCAGTATGATAATCTGTAAGTAACTGAACCCAGAGTGACCCAACTAAAGCTTTAAAAAAAGTTCTTAATGTGGAAATCAAGTGCAGATGGATCCCACAGGTTGTTGCTTTACTTAACAGTCTACATTTGTTTTTACTTTTGGCAGTATTGGGGTTTTTAAGTGAGCGTGAAGCGTGTGCTTACTAATAAATAAGCAGGTGCTCTCCTACTGACCCAGGCCTCCAGTGCTTGTGAACTGGTTGTTGTCCGTACTTGGGTGGGCACCTAGACTGAGAGGTGTCCCCAGCCATGTGTGTTACACTTCTGTGATGGCCCAGAACCACAGCTGTCCAGTCTCAACAGTCCACCTAGCTAGGCAGGCATATGCCACTCTGCCCAGCTACTGGTTGAGAAAGGTACTTCTAAACTCTTTTGCCCAGATTCCAACTATGGTCTTCCAGGTAGCTATGATTAGCCATCATACCCAGCACGGTTCACTCGTGTCCGAAGACCAGCTCTTGATGCTGTTAGTATGCCAGGGGCCAAACACCCCATTATATCTAAGTCTGCAGTGACAGATGATGCATAATCAGTAAAGGGTTTCCAAGGTCCTCCCTTTGGTTCTGTAGAGCTGGAAGAGGGGCCAAGAGCAGGAAGGTGATTGCTGCTGCTGTCAGTGGTCTGCATGTGCTCTCCAGAGAGAGCGTGACAACTCTGAAGTTATATAAGCCAAGTGTGGATGTGGAGAGCTAAATTTGGTTCCATTGGTGCAAACCTGGAGTAATTATTTCATGTATTTTTAAGTCTGGGATGGACTGACAGGGAGGGAAATCTTTTTGTCTTTTACCACCTAAGGAAAATGTAGTTCACTGAGCAAGCACGTTCTGATTGCATCCGCAAAGCTTGTTTACAGGGAGAGAAAAGGGTAGGTACTATGCTTTTCTATACTTAGTAACTCTCCGGCTCCTAGGTACTGCTGGGCCTGCGAGATACCAGTGATTCCATTGTGGCCATCACTCTTCACAGCTTAGCAGTGCTGGTCTCTCTACTTGGACCGGAAGTGGTTGTGGGAGGAGAAAGAACCAAAATCTTCAAACGCACTGCCCCAAGTTTTACTAAAACTATGGATGTTTCCCCAGAAGGTAAGAATACAATTAAAATCTAGCTGTTTAGTATTAGATTTTTAAGACACTTTTCTATATGAATTTAGCTGTATACAAGCCTCTAAGTTTTGGGCCACACGTCCAGGTGTTTCTGTACTGGCTGTCTTCTAGGCCTGTGCCTCCCGGCATCCTGGGGGAGACAAGACATGCCACAGCATGCAGACCTTGGTCAAGATGAGATCTTGGGAACTTCTATGCCCAGGCTGGCCTAGAACTGTAATTAATTCCACCTCAGCTTCTCAGGTAGCTCGATTCACAGCTGGAGCTGTGGTGGCTGGCACCTGTCATCCTGGTTACTTGAGATGACTTGTTCTGGAGGTGTGGTCAGAGGGCTGTGAGTCCTATCCAAAAAGCAACCAACGCATTAAACAGCTGGGCCATAGTTCAAATGATAGACTGCCTAGTAAAACAAGGGGTGGGGGAAGATCAGAGACTGACTCTCATTTGATTGAGATTAAGAAACACTAGTGAGCTCTGCCAGCAGCCTGTGTTCCAAGTTTAGAGCAAAGCGCCACTTTTTCCTTATAATGTTGAACAAAGAGACCAACTTTTACAGTCTGCCTGCATAGTGAGATAAAGTGTAACGACGGGAAAGTTGTGGCAGTTTAGACTAGCACACTGGGCAAGAACGATTGCAAAGTAGGACTTCAATAGGAAGGAGACTCGCACAAACAGCCGGAGTCCGAGCTTAGAGATGTGAAACCTGAGGGTTGGGGGTGGAGGGCAGATGGCATGCAAAGTACTCAGCCAAAATGGACGTTTTCTCAAAACAACCTTCCTGCAGCAGTACATTCATAAGGCTAGATCTGCACTCTTACTAGGTACTTACTAAAGGAAACGGGTGAGGATTTAAAACCACATGTGATTCCAAAGTGTTTTCAAAGGCTTTAACTCTGTAATGAGGTGGATCTTAACAGTTCATACTTGACCACCACCACTGTGCTGTGCAGTACACACAGCCTATACCTAAAACACCTCTGGGGAGGAGCACGTGAGACATTCAGAGCTGTTCTCTTATCCATCTCCCTTAACCACTGCTTAACCACACACGATCATAGTTTACTCTCTCATTTCTCAGAGTTTTTATTTATTTTCAGATTCTCCCACGCATGCGGTTGCCTGCAGCCAGCAAAGTGAGAGCTCACCAGTGTTGGAGAAGCCTTCTCCTGGCATATTCCCTAACTGCTTCTTTTCTGGCAACATTCCCATCAACAGCAAGAAGCACATAAAGCAAGATTACTACAGTACTCTCTTACGGACAGGTAGAAATAAGGGTTTTTTCTGTTGCTTGGATTAAGTTTTCTTATTCATACTCCATCATACCTCCTTAACATTTCTTCCTAATTCAGGAGAACAAGTTGATAGTACTTAAGTTACATTTTTTTGCATCAGATAATTTGGACTTCTGATGCCTTCACTGCATCTTCCAAAATGTGCCGTAAGATGATAGAGAGGTTATTACTGGGTTCGGCAAACTGCCTTGAACATTTTTCAGAGCATATGTACTTAAAACATCTAGAACATTTAAGAACACTGGTGTAGACTTTTTTAACTGAGCTATGCCAATGGGCATAAATACTATGTTTTAAAAATTAGATCTATATACTTCCCTCTCTTAAATGCTGTGAACCAACATTCTGAGAATAATCTCACACATATCCTCACAGGTGATCAGCTTCCCCGGTCCATTGAATTGCCCATGAATGGAATCTCAGATATGAAAAATGCTTCTGGGGATCATGAGGACTTTGCCTCAGGCTCCAAAAAGTGTGACGAATGGCCTGACTGGAGTGAGCCAGAGGAGCCAGAAAACCAAACTGTCAGCATTCAGGTCTGGCCTGCAGAAGCCTGTGATGCTGCTAGGTCCCAGTGTACTAACTTGAATGTGGAGAAAGAATCTTGGGGTGACTGCGAGCTCAACTTAGGGTCTCAAATAAACCCAGGAGGCGAAATCTCTGCGGCGGTGCCCGTTACTTCTTGGGAGCAGAAGCCAGTTCCTGTTTTGCTTCCACTCACTGAAGAGTCTCAGCCTTTGAAATCAAGCCCTCCTCACAAGACTAATTTTGCAGAGAACAGGGAAGACTCAGACCAGATCAAGCCACCAGAAGCACTGCCACAAGACAGGCCCCTTAAGGCTCGGCCAGAACTTGGCTTAGGTGAAGAATTTACCATCCACGTAAAAAAGAAACCAGTACAAGATCCCGAGTTAGACTGGTTTGCTGATATGATCCCTGAAATTAAGCCTTCAGCTACTTTTCTTATTTTACCTGAACTGAGGACAGAAATGACGGTTCCCAGCAAGGATGCTGTCTTACCAGTCATGCAGTTTTCCTCAAAATTTGCTGCAGCAGAAATGAGTGAGGTGAGTATTTTGGGGAGAGCGCTACTAGTTTAAGGATTGCTTGCACAGGTCCTAGCTTCTATTAAGCATGCTATTTTCTGAATGAAGGGAAAAAATACTGCGTACAACTGGTTAAAATGATCAAGTTGATCAAGGCAAGCAAGAATGAACAAAACTAGTTTTCCCCTAGAAAAAGACAGTGGGTAAATGTTCAAAATAGTCAGCTTATTTCATTATAAACCTTGTACTTGTAAAAGTAAAAAGACAGTTAGACAGCTCCTGAGAAATTGTGAAAAGTGGGTCCGAAGTGATTCTCCTGCTTTTCAGCTTTTAGTTACAGGTTTAGTTACTTGCTTCACATGGGGCTGTTTATGCGTTCTGGCATCAACATGTGCTGAAAATGGTCATTCTTACATTCCTAATTTCTCAGATTTGATTTGCTTCAGTAGGTTGCTGTTGGTATGTTTGTGTTGCAGGGAGACACTGAAGGCTGGGGAGAAGGAGAGCTGAACTGGGAAGATAATAACTGGGAAGATAATAATTGGTGACAACAGGTGTGAGTTAAATGTAGGAATGATTCCTTTAAAAAAAATGAATACCTCAAAAGCAGACTGTGTGGATGAGAAAGGCACAAAGCAGCCTGTTTTCCCCATACCAGGAGCTCTTTGTGAAGTCTGTGCCAACTCAATTGTGAGGCCAACCCTGAGAGCTGGCTAGACGCCAGGGCAGCCCAAGGCCTACAGGACAGGCTGCCAGGAGGGGAACTGTGCATGAGGCCAGTTTCCATGAAGAACAAGTAGCGGAGGAAAGGTTCAACTTAATGCTTTTTTTCCAGGATAATTCTGGAAGTAAAGAAAATATAAACATGCAAGCTGGTTAGCTTAATTTTGTGCCATTTCTTTACAAATGAGAAGAATAAGTCTATTACAAAATTTAACTTGCTGGAAAAAAAAAGCTCTAAATGATCAGTAACTTCAAATCACTATGGTTTCCTTAGGCAGCTTATTTATTTGTTTACAGTTGTACTCTGAGTGAGGGTCCTTGGGTGGACCGACTGTTCCACATGTATTTCACTGTACCAAAGTTCTTAATGAGCAACCCCCCGATCCTGTAAATGTCAAATAAAGACTATTTTCACTAGATCCACGTTTACAAAAGCTCTTTTTATATACACTATACTAGAAAATGTACAGTCATATTACCCAGCTCTGGTGGGTGACATTAGAGTATCTGACGTTTTAACCTCTCAATCCTTTGTTGCAGTGTTTCCATTTCCATTAGAAGCCAGGCTGGAGCAGGAGTCTTTTGAATTAAGGCCTCTGTTGCTTCCAAGGCCCGCGTTGCTGCTTGCAGTGCTGACCTATACTCTTCTTCCAGTGGGAGGTCATGACGTGCTCTTTTTGCAGAAGGCTTTTCAGAGAAAAAACGAGATAACCATGTAAAATTACTCCTTGTAATCACTGGATCACAAGAACAAGATAGTATAGTACCTTGTCCACCTTCTGACCTCAGTTATCTAGAACAATGCATGAAGCTGTTCTAAAAGTTGTAACTAAAACAACACCCAGGAGCAGACTGGGATGCTGTAGAAACTGAAGAGCATCGTAAAAGCTGAAAGAGATCTAGTAGAATTTAGCTATTACAATGCAATAGAGGGGTTTCTATGGTGTAATATGGCCATATTTCCAAAAGGAAATGTAGCAGTCACTAAATCACACTGCTGGTGCGACTTCTCTTCAGGAAACACGGTCCGTGGTAAATATAAGTCAAACACTAGGTTTCTTTTAGGTCCCTTTCAGGCTTGTCTTGCAGGGGTCTGACAATGGGATACCATTAAACTGCAACTAAACAAGTACAAAGCACCAGTTCTGCTTGGTAGGTATCTGGCTCCAAATAAATTTGGGGATTATAGTCTTTTGAAGTCTTGCAGACAAAATCACAACTGGTTACCCAATTAAACAAGCCTAGGGAGTAGTGCTTACATAGCCCAATGATCTGTCTTAATTCTTCCCAGTGCTGTGAGTAGGCCACTAGCCCACAATATGAAACCACACCATTTATAGAGGGGCTGGAAGCAGATTCTCAGGCCTGTGATTAGCAGCTATGTCTACACTTAATCCAGACCATAATGAGCCAGCCTCGTATACCCATTAAAGGTGCTTGTTTACAAAAGACTCAGAGCCTTTTTCTTCTCAGGAGTAAGCGTAAGCCAGAGTTAGGCAGCTAAAGAGTGGGTGAACAATGGTCTGTAAATGTGGATGGAACCACAGAATTCTCTAACTATAGAATCTCATAGAATTTCTTTACTAGAGGTATACTTACATAAAATACATTTTTCATTATTAAAACAAAAATCATGATGACTCTAAACCCTCCACTTAAAAATTACTCTCCTGTGGCTCAAAATAGTATTTGGAATATTCTTAGTGGTGTTAAGTTGTTGCCTTTGATAAGTACGTTTTTAGTTATTTCTTGCCTTAGTCATAAAAGCCTGATGAACATTCTAGAAAGTAAGTTAATTCATCTTTTGTGGTTCAGAAACTGCATTAGGCATTACTGGGTCAATATGTAGTTAAGTTTTCCCCAGTTACTACAAATGACTTACTATACTGGAAGATTATATTTCCAGTGATGTTTAAAATTTTTGTTACAGTTCTGTCTAGGGTTGGTAATCTTTCCGAAAAAAATACAGGATTTCTAAAATAGAGCAACTATAAAACGGGAATCTTTAAAGTGTCTGGAGTTAGGTGTGAAGTTCAACCTAAGGATAAAAAGTGAAAGAAGAAGGAAAAGTGCTGAGGAGAGCACGCCCCTGGCTAACCACATGCCTGTAAAGATGACCGCTCCGTCGCTGCTTCAGTCGCTTCAGCAAAGGGCACCCAGAGAACAGCTCTTTCCTGTTTCACACGCTCCACTTTGGCAGCTTCAGCTTCATCTACACACCCAGACTTCAGAAGACCATGGAAAAATAAATTGAAAAACACGTGTGTTCCACTAGATGCCAATGCTGCAATTTACAGAAAGACTAAGTACTCTGTTTATAAACGCTGAGTGCGAAACCATTTTGTCTTGTGAACCAGTCCAATTTTAGAAGTCAAGTAGACTTGTCTTTATATATGCTTGCTTGAAATGTAATTAGAATTCTTCCAGTGTTTTTCCCTATAGAAAAGTGACTTTCCAAGAAAAGTCTGCTACAGCTAACCTTTACTAACTAGGCTCTAAAGCCTAAGACAATAGCAAGGCAATGTATCCACTTTGCTATATGTATATGACACATATAATGGATAAAACACACAGATCCTAGAGTTTAACAATTGGCATACTAAGTAATTTATCCTAACACCAGCGCCCTGTTAACTTTCTTTTTTTTTTTTCTGTTTTTTTTTTAAAGATTTTTTTGTTTTTTTTTTTTTTGTCGGTCGTGGGGCTTGAACTCTGGGCCTGGGCGCTGTCCCTCAGCTCTTCAGCTCAAGGCGAGTGCTCTACCACTTGAGCTACAGCGCCACTTCCGGTTTTCTGGTGGTTTATTGGAGATAGGAGTCTCATGGTCTCTCCTGCCCGGGCTGGCTTTGAAGCGCGATCCTCAGATCTCAGCCTCCTGAGTAGCTAGGATTACAGGCGTGAGCCACCAGCGCCCGGCCCTGTTAACTTTCAAGGTATACACAAACATGGGGTCCCTATGATTCAAACATTTGATTCTAACTAGCGTGGTATAAATATCTACGAAGATAATTGACCTAGTCTTGGAAAAACAGATCTTGGCTCATAAAACGCCATACCTGAATCATACTGCAAAGTTTTTCTTTTTAAATCCTCTTAGTTCTGTATAATCAGATGTCTCTAATATAATGTTCAACATGGAAGTCTGCATTTGCCATCCCAACTATCTAGATTACCAGTAATATACTACTGTAACCCAAACTGCACAGTAAAGTGCTTCAGATGTTTTCCCATATACAATCAGACATTTTAGAGCTGGGACCCAAGTTTAAGTAGGATACTCGTTTATGTGTCATAATACCATAGCCTAATGGTAACTTTATGTGATGTATGAAACTGGCAGCTTGAAGTTTTTCTATTTCTTTGGTGCTCAAAGCTTCAGGTTTGGAACATTCTGGATTTAGGGATGTTTCAGCCTATCTATGTTAGCAACTCTGAAAAGTCTAAGTTGGTTCTAAGGACAAAATTTTCTTTAAAAAGATTAAAATATGGGATATGTAATAAATATTTACCTTCTCCAGAAAGGTTACTACTTTGTTCTTAATTTCTTCAGAACTGACACACTGTGGAACTATTTCTTCATGATGGGTTCCCTATTAAAAGATTCATAAGACTTTAATATACTTTAGCAAATTGCAAAGACAAGTAATGTGACTATTAAGAACTACCTTAATTTAAAATTAAATGTTTTTTGTCAGCTGTGGGGCTTAAACTCTGGGCCCAGGCACTGTCCCTGAGCTCATGAGCTCAAGGCAAGCGCTCTACCACTTGAGCCGTAGCCCCACTTCCAGTTTTCTGGTGGATCATTGGAGGTAAGAGTCTCACAGACTTTTCTGCCTGGGCTGGCTTTGAACCATGATCCTCAGAGCTCAGCCTCCTGAGTTGCTAAGATTATAGGCGTAAGCCACCAGCACCTGGCTTTAAAAATTAATTTTGAGAATATTCAATGCAAAGAGTACTTAAAACTCTTAAACCTTCTTCAGAGTATCTGAAATAATGTAATCCTAACTTCTGTACAAGCTTTATTTACTTCTCTACTCATATTGTCTCTACACATTCTCATGAGCAGAAGTAGTGGATCACAGTTTAAAAAAAAAAAAAAAGCAACACACAAAGCCGTTGCTGGAAGCACACTACCAGCTTTCCCCCGATCAGTTTAGTATAAAATCTAGACCATCCAGTCCCAAAAAACTGCCTAGAAGGCATGTATGAGTATTCCAGTCCTTGATCTCGGAACGCTCACCATTGCTCACGGCCTCACTTAAGGTCTTGTAAGATAGTAATTATCTCCTCTAATATAGGCAGCCCCAACAGATATCCCCACAAAGAATTAGTTTATAATTACCTCAGCAAACTGAGTAAATGCCTCCAAAGTATGTTGCTCTAGTAGCCAATTCCTATCAGCTAGCAGTAAGGCAAAGATACAAGACAGGTTGGGCAGAATTTTGTCCTGAAAAGAGAGACAACCCTGATTAAACAGAAAAAGAAACTTCAGAGTAGAACGAGAAGTTGTCACTGTCTATAATCTATCCCAGTGAACACAGCATGTAGGTCAACTCTTTTGGTCAACAATAGCTTCCCTGGATGAGGCGTGCTCCATATTAGGAGCTCTGCACCTGACATTTTCCCTGCTCAGAACACTCCCCAGGCTCCTAGTTCAAGGGTTTTTACCAAGTTGTAACACTCACAAGGACTCTACCAACTATCCCAGTTCAATATGAACTGTCAAATACATACTCCCTATCTCCCTGCCCAGCTTTGTATTTTTCTACTCACCACTATTTAATACACTTTCTCTCACTAGTTGCCAGTTGCTTTTCTACAAGCTCACAGCAGGGATCAGTTAATTACTGTATCAACAGAATTAAAATGACACCTACCATGGCAACGTAAAATAAGTATCTCATGACTTCAAATGCCTCCTATATGCTCATGGAGCTCAAAGTTTCTTGGGGACCTGCCTGACCTCACCCCCCAAGTTGTAAGGCATTCCGATTCTGATCCCAGAACATTGGTTGCACAGGTTAGGGCCAACGAGTGATGCAGAATACAGCAGAAATACGGAACCAACTTGTGGTAGAAGGAGTGTATTTTTGGACACTTTTGCCATGAGAATTGGCAAGAAGTTATTAACATCTACACTTAAAAATACAAGTTTACCAGATGAAAACCAATGTTTTAGTGTTGTTTTCTTATAAACAAAAGATCTTCAGACATCTATCAGTTAATAATTTCAAAAAAAAATTTTGTACCAGTTTCAAAGTGTGAAGGGGGGGAGGGAGGGGGCGCGCGCTTGAGCACTGCTCCTGAGCTTTTTTTGCTCAAGGCTAGTGCTCTACCACTTGAGCCATAGCTCTACTTCCAGCTTTTCTGGTGGTTCATTGCCCAGTCTGGCTTCAAACCACAATCCTCAGATCTCAGCCTCCTAAGTAGGTAGAATTACAGATAGGAGCTACTGGTGTCTAACTAGTTTCAAAGATTTTAATCAACCTGTATGTACTTGCCCTGACTACAGAAAACATTTTCATTAGTGATTTTTTTTGGGGGTGGTCAGTTTTGGGGCTTGAACTAAGGGCCTGGGCGCTGTCCCTCAGCTTCTTTGTACTCCAGCACTTGAGCAGTGCCACTTCTGGATTGATTTTGAGTTGCTAGAGATAAACCTCATGGGGACATTCCTGCCTGGTAGATCTCAGCCTCCTGAGTAGCCAGGGTGACAGGCATGAGCCACCAGTGCCCAGCTTACCAGTAGTCAACTAACTTAGAATGACTGTTCACACTGCAGAGTAGTAGTGAGGATAAAACGTCAGGATTCCCTTCAGCCTGAGGTCTTAAAATTCAGTAGACATGGTTTTCTAAGCCATGACATTTTTATAAATAATTGCCTAACTTGTCAGCACAAACTTTTTTGCAACATTAAAAAAATAACTTTATTAGCAAATAAGCTTCCTTTTATGAATACACAACTGCAATAAATTATCAAATGTCCTAATTACATACTATCACCTAGCGGACCTAAACATTTCCTACCTTCAGAAGATTTTCGTGCTGAAGTCCAACTAGAATGAGAACCTCCTATTCTCAAATGATAGTGGCCAACTCAGTAAATTATTTGAATGTCCACATGCTTTTCTAAAAGAAAATAACTTAAAACAAGCTCTATTTGACAGTTACCATCAATCAGAAAATGTTTCTTTTTCCTCCAGCTTCATTTAGAAAACGCACAGAATTTTAGAAATCAACAGCCAAGGCAGGGAACCTACTCATGATACTGTTTTAAATAGCACAGGAACAACAGGAGTGTGAGTACCTGTATAACCTGAGGTATAAACAGCTTTCCTAACGAAGAGACAAAATCCAGCACTGCAAAGCGGACATGGTCAGCAGGCTCCAATTTAAGTAGTGAGGTCTGCAAACTGACTACCTGGAAAGGAATAAAGCATAAGGCTAGTGGTAAGTCAAACGGTACTCTCCGTAGAAACCAAGACTACCTATGAGTTAGATAATTATGGAAGGAGGAAAAACAAAAATTCAAAACATTAAAACATCCATTACAACTTATAAAAAACTTTATATACCTTAACATTTAAAGATTATTTTGTATTTAAAATTCATTTGTGAAAAGTACATTAAAGCAAGGGTTGCCAAAGCTGTTTGGAGAAAGTCGTAACAAATTTAACTTACTATACATTCTGAGTTAATCCTTTTACTGTGTTTGTATCCTGATAATTCAGTAATTGATGGTATAGACATAGTAAAGAACATACCTAGCTAGTCAACACTCACTAAACAAAGCTATTAGTTTCTGTTCTTCCTATTCTACCCCACCATATATGATAAAATGTCTCGTCCATCATTTTCCTAAATAGGAATGCTTAATTTTTCTTCCTAAAGTTTGTTTCCTACATGATCCTGTGCTAAAGCTAATTCTTGATTTAGGGGGATCAATTTTGTCAATACTTCAGAGACGAGGAAGGCCATTCCCATTTTCTGTGAGCTCAGAACTTCCCAAAAAGTTTTAAGTGAAGTTCTACCACAAGGACCCCACACGGTGATTCATGCAGGCCTGTGTCACAGCATGTAAGCTGGGGTCCTGAACAGAATTCAGTATAACTCTTCTTTCAAATATTTCATTTCTTCAAAGAGAAGGGATCGTCCATGCTGGTAATGTTCATGTTGGTTAACTCATAGCTGCTAAAAATATCTTTAGAAATGCCACAGATACAGGGTTCAACATCAGAACTCTGACTCCTAATCCCAGGGAGTTAGAAGAGTCCCTGTCCAGTTAACAGCAACAGTAAAAGTATTCAGCCTAAAGTGACAGGAAGAATGGAGAAAGGCTGAGTCAATAATCCAGTACAGTACACTCTGGAAGGAAGAAACAGGGAGACATAGTGATAATGATGAGTGAATCTGTGACATCTTCAGTTCACCAAGAAAAGCAGTGGAAGTGAAGCTCAAACGGTCCAGAGCCAGCTGGAGGGAAAGTGCTAAGCAAGAAAACGGTCCAGAGCCAGCTGGAGGGAAAGTGCTAAGCAAGAAAACGGTCCAGAGCCAGCTGGAGGAAAAGTGCTAAGCAAGAAAACGGTTCAAGTGTGTTCACAAAAAATTGTAATTGTAACCCCTCTGTACAGTGTATTCACAAAAAAGAAAAAAAGAAAAAAAAAAGAAAACGGTCCAGAGCCAGCGGAGGGAAAGTGCTAATAAGCAAGGAAAGGGGCATGAGCTCAAAGACCCACTACTGGTATAAAAAAGCTACAAACCAATAAATAAATCACCATTAAGGATTCTTTATAAAGTGATTTCAGTTTGGCAAACTCCATAGCAAACAAAGTAACAACATGGTCACTAATCTTACCTGACTGATCAGCTGAGGATCTACAGTTTGAACAAAAAATCCTAAAATTGGCAGTAAAAGGCTCAATGTCTGTTGAACATAGGGCTGACTGGTTACCTTAAATAAGAGACAATGTAATTATGATGAAAGTTTTCCACTAAATAAAATGTTATTATAATACAGTTTTTACTAAGCACTTATATGCCAGGCTAGATGAAAACATTTTTCAAAGTTATTACCACCCCACCTATATCTTACAGCAAGTCTATAAGGTATAGTTATTATCCTCATTTTACTAATAAGAAAACAAGAGGAGAGAAGTTAAATAATTTCCTCAAGATAACCTGGCTAGGAAAAGAAAAGCCATGATTCAAATCCAGACTTATTCTAATTATGGAATCCAATTTTTTTTGTCTGAAACTGGAAAGCTTTCATGTGCCTTCGTTTTCATAGAATTCCATTTCTCTCTGCCATACTTACTGAGATGCCATACTACTGTAAAGCTGTAACTACAGCAGTGAATGACTACAATGAATGAATGTGGGTACATCAGTGGAAGGTATTTGCTGAAGTCAATATTCCAAGAGTAAAGTGACCATAGCAGACATGAATGACAAAACTACCTCTGTTTTCAAAAGTTAATGGATTTTGCTACTGCTGATTGCCAGAGGCCATGTTTATTTCTACTTACTTTAAGGAAAATCAATGTATTATTTTGAGTTTTAAATGGAAAAACTTGTTTAGAACAATTTCCATTCATTTCATTGAAACTGAACAAATTTCATGAAATCTTTTTCAACCAGGGATGTTTACCATTTTTATTTTAAACAGACAATCCTCTGACTCGGCTTTGCGAAGAAAATAAGTTATTTACATTCATTCACTAGAGCCTTCCACCTTACTCCTCCTTGCCCAAAGGGAAGTAGGATTCTAGGAACCACACAAACAGGCTGCACTAGCCCGAAGAACAGAAACAATAAGGGGAGATGTTTCAGGTTAATCTAAGAGGTTTTACTATTTCCATACATGCTGTACCTTGTTCGTCTTTATCTCCCCTTTCACGCCCAGTAAATTTCATAACTGTATTTTTAGAGACACATAAAATTGTACGTAAGGTCTCCATCATGGCACTTCAATACACGTATATGATAAAATGTTCATTTACTCATTCCCTGCACTATTCTTACGCCACCCCCTCCTCTTGGTTCCCCTTATCTCTTTAGTCGTCAGGGGAGAAGAGGGTCCTGAGTCATGAGAATACTTGCTAGACCATCACCACCACTCTCTCCTAAGTTCTACATTTATATCATAATGCCATCACACTATACTGCCTGAGAATAAGTAGGTACTTGACATTCTCACAAGTTCTACCAAGCACCTAAAAAAATTACAAAAATTATACTATAGGGAACCTTTAATATATTCTTTTTCAGTATTACGTGTTCTTCAGTAACATGATCACTGGTTCCTCTTACCTGCTTAACATTTAAAAAAGCCCAAAGCTGATTCCCAACTTCAATAATTGCAGTCTGCTGTGCAACGTCTAAAGCTTCAGCAGCAGAATTACACACAGCAAGTAAAGCAGAGAGGGCTGTGTTCTAAAGAGGGAGAAAGAGATAGAACCTGAGATTAAAGGCATCAAAGGACCAGGAACCGGAAAACCCAGGGGTTATACAAGTCACTTAGAACTGTTCACATAAATCCACACAGAGTATTTCTCAAAGGCAAGCACTATACAGTCTATTTTATTAAAATAAATTTTCCTTATTCAAAGAAATATTTGCTTCATTTTTCTAAAACTTTTGGGCTTAGGCTAAAAAATTAATCAGAAACATGAAATTGTAATAAAAAGATTTCATACAAATGGTTAGAATGGCTGGCATAATTTAAAATGCTCATCAATGAAGTTTATTATTTCACATGTAAACAGCAATCTTTAAAGGTTACTGATTGTTTTAAAATTCAAGATACCTCAGTGACAATGCATTTGCTAAACAAATATTACAATGTACTATCCGACAGGCATAGTGGCTCACACCTTGCGTCTTAGGAGCTGAGATCTGAGGATGGCAGTTGAAGCCAGCCTGTGTAGGAAACTCCATGAGACCCTTACCTTTAATTAAACACCAAAAAGCTGAAAGCAGAGCTGTGGCTCAAGTGGTAGAGCACCAGCCTTGAGCAACAACAAAAGCTCAGAATAGTGCCAAGGCCTTGAGTTAAAAAGCCCCAGACTGACACAAAATCAATAAGTGTACTAACTAGAATTTAAAACAAAATCTCTTTTGGATTCACACTTTCCTACTGACACAAGAATTTCAATCTCTCTCTGGCTAGGATGGAGATATTGAGGGTGTGGTAAAGGTCATATAATGACCAGTAGCAATGACTTTAATCCATTACACTTCAACAACCCACATTAGGTAACTACCTGCAGCTTCTCATTTAAGAGTGATCTGTTTTCTTGCACAAATAAACATGCTGGGTTTGGCCCTAAGTGCACATTAAGAATCTACTGAATGAACTAACTGTGAATCCAGAATTTAGGGCATGTTAAGTGCAAATTAACGATGTATTAACCAGTTTTTCCAAAATAAATGTTTTATTTAAATTATAACCAGCTGCTATTAGATAATAGTGTCTGCACACTCAGTATGAGAACAAATGGCTTAGGAAAAGCTTCCTACTTTAAGATGGCGGCTAAGCCGGCAACCCCACACCTACATGGCCTTCTCCCTAGACTTTCTTGATTGTTCTCCACCAAAAAATGGTACATATATACTGTCGACAGCTTAGCTAGAAGGTAAATAAATGAGAATTTTTAGTTTTTTTCCTCTGATTTATCTATCCCAAGGCCTACAACAGAACTTACTTCATAAGAGCACCCAAAATATGTATTTATATATTTGAATAAAATAATGAGCAAATGAACACTGAACTGCAAAGTTCATCTACTTGAACTGTATCTAGTCAACCATAAAAAAAAAAGTTTTCTACTTTTTTTGGTGTGTTTTCTACTTCTTGTAGCATAATCCTTCTCTTTTTATTCCATCATTTATAAAGGAACATTCTAGGTACAATAAAGGATCAGAGCAGGTTTGCATAAAACACTCTGTCTTCCTGGTGTTAAGTAATCATGTCTAAGCCTAGTGTGTTGGTATGTATTTATAATCCCAGTACATGGGAAACAGCAGGATTTCCAGTTTGAGACCAGTATGGGCTACATAATTAAGACTTTGTCCTAAAAACGGGGGGGGGGGGGGGGGGGGGGGGGGGGGGGGGAGCCTGCTCAATCCAGTCATGTGTATCAGCAAAAATGAATTATTTCATTATCTTCCCAATGTGTCTATCTTGTACAATAGAGGGAAGACCCCCCACTTCAACATTAAGATTTTCCAAGACACCTTTATAATACAAATCTGCAAATCCTAGTTGCATGCGCATTTTATTACCAGCCTATTGCCTCAGAAGGTGCTCAGGAAAGCTGCTGGGTGAACCAACGCATTGCAAATGACCTACTAGAGGCTGGAGCTCTCCCCGAGTTGGGCTGGAGCTCAGCCACCTCCTACACTGCGCAGTGCCCACTCTGGTGATCGCATGCGCAGCTTGCTTCCGGAGCTCGCCGCATAAAGCCTGCAAGGAGATACATTGCCATAGAGGCAAATTTTCTGCTTCTTTCGGAGAAAATTTCTTGATAAACTCCACCTGAAATAAGTTGCAAAGAAACAAGAATCTCAGACAACTGGATGAATTTGGAAGAACTGTTTCCTCACTTGATATTTAAATGAGGTAATGTAACTGAGCATGGTTATTTTTGCTGCTGCAGGATTTATAAGGTGTAAGTGAAGCATGACACGCAGGCCTGAGAGGGGCAGCAATGCTCTATGTACACATACAGAAGTCTCCTCACGACACAGTTTGCTAAAAGCCCATCACTGTAAAAAGCAGTTTCATCACAAAGCCAAACTGTACCATGAAAGCTAAGAGAGTTATTACACTGACTGGTGAATACCATCTTTTTAAAACTGTCTTATCTTTGAGTTGTACAACAACAGCTCAGTTGATGAATACAATGCTCTTGGTCAGGCCATTTTATCTTTCTCTCCATCCCTCCTCCCTCGGTTTTCTTAGTCTCACAGGCTATACATGAAGTATTACAAGTGGTTCTCACTTCCTCTTCACGCATCTAGCATCCCTCCCTTTGATCTCTCCCCACGGCCTTCAACTGCCACTTTCCAGACATTCATTTTGTTGGACTATGAATCTGTCTAAGGAATTACACCGTCTTGACTTCACCTCTGCAAAGACCACTTCAGTTTGTGTACACTTGCACACAATGTTCTATGTGTGTTCACATTTATAAGCTAGATCTAGCTTCCGCATGAGAGAAAACATGCATCTTTGTGTCTGTGGGTCTGACTTCACTTACTTTTCTAGGTTCATCCATGTTCCTCCCTAACAGATGAGTAAAATTTATCATTGTATTCATAATTTTATGTGTATATGTGCCACATTTTCTTGACCTATTCATTCACTAAGAGTATCCAGGCTGTTTCCAGACCTGACTGTGGGGACGGGGCAGCAGTGGGCGTGACTGTGCGAGTGCCCTTCCTGAACCCTCCTTGGAGCTCTTTTCGATAAAAGCCCAAGAGTGGTACTGATGGTTTGCAGAGTACTTCAGTATCTGTAATAAAACCCAAATACAAATGATACCTAATAATGATCTGAACAGTTCAAAGCGTAATGCCAAAATTTGCTACATAGAAAGAGAACAAGATTCTAATGGACTCAACTACAAACGCTCTAGTTGAAATCATTTTCAAGATTTCAAACTTTTTTTTTTTTTTTGTCGGTCGGGGGGCTTGAACTCTGGGCCTGGGCGCTGTCCCTCAGCTCTTCAGCTCAAGGCGAGCACTCTACCACTTGAGCTACAGCGCCACTTCCGGTTTTCTGGTGGTTTATTGGAGATAGGAGTCTCACAGTCTCTCCTGCCCGGGCTGGCTTTGAACCGCGATCCTCAGATCTCAGCCTCCTGAGTAGCTAGGATTACAGGCATGAGCCACCAGCGCCCGGCTTAAGATTTCAAACTCTTAAGACTGACAATAGCTCATAAGGAGTGAAATTTAAGAGAATTATGACTTCCCTGTTTAAAGAAGTGTGTACAGAAATTTTTACTTTACACAGAAATGACAGCACAACTATTACTGTTCTTAAATAAAGTATATTAAAATATTTTTCCTTCATTTAAGTAATTTTGAACTTTCGCTTTTTTTAGGTGGGAATACTAATATTTGTACACATACAATAATTACTCCCCCTAACCAGAAAACATTTTAATATCTAAATATGCTGTCTTTTCCCCTCAAATTGTGATGCATCCCAGGTGCATTCTCTTCATGTTAGTAACACCGTGTCCTTGACGCTGCGTCAGCTTTCAAACCACGCCTGTGGGACCATAAAGAAGAGTCTGTTTCACCGCCGTAGTGGTCCCCAGGCCTGGCTACACAGAAGCAAGCTACTGAGCTCTACTTCATACTCAACACTCCAGCAGTTCAGATCAGAGGATGCACAAAAGCAGACTTTCCTCAGTCATGCCACTGCTTTTTTCCCTCACAGTAGCAAACAACTAATACTTGTTAACGATGCAATTTTCCCCCTAAAAGTTCAACTATGAAAATGCACACTATGATAACTCTTCAAAATGAAAAGAGCAGAGGATATAGATTTAATTACATGCGTCTCACACATCTGAAAAACCAGTTAAAACATGTATTTCTTTTCCCTTGGATGAATATTAAATGGATTTTATCCAAGGGATTAGTCAGGATGGAATCAGACTATCTGTATGTAATTTGAAGCAAGAACATCAAAATCTACTCCAGAAATGAGTAAGCTAAGTATCCGATGTTAAAAATGGATGCTCAGCTAGTAACACTTAAGTATAGAATAAACAGAAGGAGGGGGGCTTTGACGGGAATCTGAATCCAGTTTTTAGCAGGTGCATTGAGAGCAACCCTTGCCTGATGGGGTGGAGCCATGAGGAAGAAGAGTCGTTTCAACAGAATGGACAGGTGGGCGAGCTGCTGACATTCTCCGGGGGAAGATTTTATCTAGGAAAAGACAAGAAACGGAGAAAAAGATTTAACCGATTTAGAATTAAGAGATTTTATAAGAAGACAGTGAGAAGCCAAAATATTTATGGTTCTTTCTAAAGGATAAAATTGTAGCCAGTTTAGCTTTTTGTTTGTTTTTTGCTGACACCGAGGCTGGACACAGCCTGTGCTTGCTGTCAGTTTATCTCTGCCATGTCAGCCATGCCCTCAGCTCAACTTTTTGTTGGTTAATTTTGAATCTGGGAGCTTCCTGGACATTTTGGCCTGGACATTTTGGCCTGGACTGGCTTGAAACTACTATCCTCTAGATCTTAGCCTCCTCTATACCTACAATTCTAAGTGGTGACTAATTCGGGACTATTCTTTCCTTCTCCAATGCAACTACACTGCTTTTTTATTAAGAAATTCTGAGCCAGGTGCTGGTAGCTCACACCTGTAATCCTAACTACTCAGGAGGCTGAGATTTGAGGATGTCAGTCTGAAGACAGCCCAGGCAGGAAGGTCCTCGAAACTCTTACCTCCATTAAAAACTACCAAAAAAAGACAGAAGTTAAACTGTGATAGAGCACCAGCCTTGAGAAGAAAAGCTCAGGAACAGTGCCCAGGTCCTGAGTTCAAGCTTCACAACAGACAGCAACAAAATAAATTCTTGAGATAATGTTTAAAAGTACTTGTCATTTCTTTTTGAAATTACCACTTGGATAACCTGGTATGTAAACCTATTCAAAAAAATTAATCTTAAGATCTTTTTTTAAAGAACTTTTTTAAATCTCTCTTTTTTAGGAGGGGCAGTACTGGGATTTGAACTCTACCACGTGAGCCATGCCCACAGACCTTCTCGTTTTAGTTCTTTTTCAGCTATGATCTCCTGCTCTTGAGTGTGCCAGCCGGGACTCAATCTCCCTGCCGAGGCTCTCACCCGGCTGGGATGACAGGGATGACAGGCACGAACCAACACACCAACCTTCTTCTCTGAAGACCTCACCTTTTGCTCCAGTTGTCCTCATCCCATGATCCTTTCTATCTCTACCTTCCAAGTAGCTGAGATTATAGGCATGAACAACAATGGCCAGCCCCAAATTCACAAGAACTTTTCAATATCTAAGCATAATAGTACAGAGGTGGAGTTTGATATAAATAAAGATCTTAAATATTTTATAAAAGCAGTTTTATGCTTTTTTGTAACAATGTACTAGAAGAAATCCATTCCTATCGTAAAGCACTAGGAGGGCTTTAATGGAAATGAGATTGGGTTGCTGAGCACAGTGGCAATCGGGAGGCTGAGGCAGGAAGGCTGCCAGTTAGAGGACAGCCACAAGGGAGACCCTGTCTAAACAAACACTGCAACATCAAAATCACTGTTGTGTGCAAGATGTGCTAGAGATTCAGTACAGTAAGTTATAATCTAGACATAATTATTAAAAAAACACAAAAGGGATGGGGGTTCACATGATCAAAGAGCAGAGACAAAACCTAGCAGTCATAACCATCTCAAACGAACACATCAGTCATCCCAGAGTTCTAAGCAAAACTATCAACCTTGAAAAGGCTCAAGTCATTGTCACTTTCTCTTTGTACTCAAGGACAAAAGGTGACTTCTTCTCCTAACAGCATCTACTACAACCAGACGTAGTCCTCTCACATCTCCCCGACTGAAACACGTTCAACAAAACCAGGAGCCAAGTGAAGTCCGATTAAAACAAGAAAGAGATGCTTTGCATTTACATTCACCTAGGTGGTCTTTCTTTTCTAGAACAATCTGAACGCTCTGAAATTTTGAAAATATAAGAAAAAATTTCCCACTTTGTATTGATATGCTTTTAGAACTAAACTTTTTTACTAAAATCAAAGAAAGGGCTGGGAAGGTGGCTCAGTGGTAGAGCGCTTGCCTTGCATGCCTGAGGCCCTGGGTTCGATTCCTCAGCACCACATAAGCAAAAAGAAAAAACCCAGAAGTGGCGCTGTGGCTCAAGTGGTAGAGCGCTAGCCTTGAGCTGAAGAGCTGAGGGACAGCGCCCAGGCCCAGAGTTCAGGCCCCACGACCGGACCCAAATAAATATTCTTTGAGTTCCATACTGTTTCTCCTTTTTCTATTTACATTATTATACCCACAGAAAACATATGTGAAATGGGCATTACAGAGTCCTTCAGGTTGAACTCACCAGATGAGCAACCAGCGTGACATGATGTGCACAGAGCTCAGCAGTCCCATATCTGCAATGTACGAAGAAGGCATCTGAGAATCTACAAATATTCAAAAACGGAAGACAAGTGCCATAAAGATACAAACATGATGATAAAGACAGACACTGCTGTTACAGGCTGTGTGTCTCTTATCTCAAATTGCTTTGGACCAGAAATACTTCAGAATTTGAATTGTTTTCATATTTGAAATATTCATCTATGCATAATGAGAGATCTTGGGGATGGCAACCAATCTAAATATGAAATTCAAAATTGTTTCATATACATCTTACCCATACATCCCAAAGGTCATTTGATACAATATTTGTGAATAAAATGAAGTTTAATTTTATTCTGTTTTCTATCTGCAACATCAAGTCTGTGCTCAAAAGTTTTGGGTTTTAGAGCATTTTGGATTTCAGATTAGGCCTGAGTGTCCCTGGCAAAGGAATATAACAATATACAAAACCACCTAATAAGCACATGGATTATAAAACAACAACAAAAAAGGAGGAATAATTCCCTATTCCCTTGTTTAGTACTGTGGTATAAAACTATTTAGAGATGTAATTCAAGATTATTGAAATGAGACTTTTCTAGGAACTTAAAATTATAAAGTCATTTATTGTTAGTCACTAAAAACCAATGCAAGCTCCAAACAGTAAGATCTAGTACCGAGCCACGAAGCACCACACATCCATTGCTAACAAAGAGGTGATCATGTTCACACCCAGCACAGCATTCAGAAGCGCAGTGTCCTAATGAAAACAGACATGACTTTAATAATGTGCTATATCCCAAACATCATCATGAATAGTCATACTAAAACAAGAATCCAAGTAAGAGGAAAGCTAATTTTCTAAGTATCTGAAGAACCTACAATGTCATTCCCTCAAGTATGCTGCGCACCTAATCATTGTGTCGGGCTGCGAGGAATCAACTTGTATTTAAATGTGTAACTCAATCAGTAAGATCCATGAAGATTAAGTACTCTGAAAAATTTAAAGCAACATAAGTAAAATTTACTTTTCACTTTTCTGCCTTAAATTTTCTTATATAAATTTATGTGTTGGATGTCATCCGTACCTTAAATTTGATCCTAGGCTTTACTGAACCTCTTTACTAATCCAATTCCATTCGCCTTTTTTTAAAGTCTATATTATGCCTGAGATATACCAGAGACCTAATCTATTTTGTGAAACCTAGGTAATTATTTTCCTCACAATGTTTTTCCCCCACTCAAAATCATTTCTCATATAGTTTAAACTTTAGCTGGAAGTACAATAGTAAACAAAGACTATCATTTCTTTAAAGCACTTGAATTAAAGGGTAAAATGGGTAAGTTGAGGAAATGATGTATACACAAAGGAATATTCACTATTCCCACGCTGTCTTTTACAGATGAGTCACAATTTCAACAAGGAGAAAGCCAACGTGTAATATACACGTTAAGTAAACTGCTTACCAGCTCAGCAAAGAGCGAAGGATGAAAGGAAGTGATAAACGTACACAAACGAACACAAACATGCTGGTACAAGGTGCTGGCAGCCTCAGCTCGCCCTTTACTCTCTATTCCCTGTAAATAAACAGGCAGAGAGAGTTCGCCAGAACACTGCTCAAAACTGTAGAAAACGGCTCTGAATAGAGAAATCCTGCAGGCAAATGGAGAATATTGAACCCACATTAATAGTAATAACTAGAAGATAAAATGTCATATCGGAGGGTTATTTTTACAAATTAAAATTTCAAGGTATAATCAATAACAACTGCTAGTATGTATGAATATGTGCACATAAAATATATTCATTGGCAGAAAAAAAATCCTTAAGGAACAGAAAATATTTTCATCGTTTACCAACTGTGATACTAGTAAGTTACACAAAATCAGCGTAAAAGTTCTTCAAGGATTTAAAATATATCTAAATTACAAAAAGCAGCATACTTCAGACAGGGAGGAGTCATTTTAATACTGCAATGGTTAAAAAAACTTTTATGGGCTGGGAATGTACTTAGTGGTGGAGTGTTTGCATAGCATGCATGAAGCCCTGGGTTCAATTCCTCAGTACCATATAAACAGAAAAAGCTGGAAGTGGTGCTGTGGCTCTAGAGGTAGAACGCTACCCTTAAGCAAAAGCTCAGGGGCAGTGCCCAGGCCCTAAGTTCAAGCCCCCAGGACTGGCAAGAAAAAAAATAACTTTTATGAAGGACTTAAGAAACAAAAAAAAAAGTAGGATGCTAAGCACTAGTACCTCATTTATAATCCTAGCTACTCGGGAAACTGAGGTCTGAGACTTAAAGTTCACTGGCAGCTTGGGAAGACAAACTCTAATTACTCAGCAAAATGCAGGAAGTGGAAGTGTGACTCAAGTGACAGAGCATGCCCTGTGAGGGGAAAAGCCAACCAAGAGTATATGGCTTGAGTTCAAGCCCCAGTGCCAATATTTAAAAAGAGAAAGAGAAATATGCATCGGTATAGACAACAAAGCCTATGTATATATATAAAAGCAAACGTAAATGACCAGTCTTACTGCATCAAGCTGTATTAGCAATGCAAGCAAACGTAAATGACCAGTCTTACTGCATCAAGCTGTATTAGCAACGAAAGCAAACGTAAATGACCAGTCTTACTGCATCAAGCTGTATTAGCAATGCAGGAGAGGAGGAGTGGGATGGATTTAAGGCAGACCTGGGCTCTCTGACATTAGGCTTCACTTTGAGCAGGAGAAAAGGAAGTCCAGAGCCAGGGCTGGAGAAATGGACAGAATGGGCTACAGAAAAATAAAAAACTTGGAGCACAGCAATAATTCAGTCTGGAACTACAACCTAGACTGGTGTTGGCGAGGAAGATGAGAGACAAGTGAACTTTCCCAGGAGACAGACACCTTTCAAGTATCTTATCAAAGCTCTTTTCTTAATGTTACTACTTCAATCTACTCTATTACAGTTAATAATTATTTTTAATGCTGACCACTGGGCAATAAACATTGGACAAAATTTAAATACTAAAAATATCTTAACATTTTTATCATGTTACCAATTTTATACCTAGGTCACTGTCACTACTAATACATCTGACATAACAAAAAGCATGTTGTTTTCAGATGGATTTCATTATGCTGCTCAGGCTAGTCCCAAACTCCTGAACTCCAAAAAAAAAAAAAAAATCCTGCTGTCTCAGCTTCCCAAGCAGGTGCAATTATAGGAACACAACATGTCTGGCTTAAGCCTAATTTTACAACCACTACAGTAAGGCAATTCAAGTCAGCAGTAATATAATACAAACATGTTTGTTACCTGGCAGCGCCTTCAGAAACTTGGTTTTCTGTACACCACAGGGTCTGCACATGCTCAGGCTGAGAGGGCAGCTTGTCCATGACAACCACCAGGAGCAGGCATTGTGGGAACTGAAGCTCACAAGGCAGGTCTTACAGGCGATTAGGTTACACAGTAAGTTAGAGCAAACTGGCAAAAATACACCCTAAGTATTTTCAGAACTTTGATTTTTTTTTTTTTTTGTCGGTCGTGGGGCTTGAACTCTGGGCCTGGGCGCTGTCCCTCAGCTCTTCAGCTCAAGGCGAGTACTCTACCACTTGAGCTACAGCACCACTTCCGGTTTTCTGGTGGTTTATTGGAGATAGGAGTCTCACAGTCTCTCCTGCCCGGGCTGGCTTTGAACTGCGATCCTCAGATCTCAGCCTCCTGAGTAGCTAGGATTACAGGCGTGAGCCACCAGCGCCCGGCTAGAACTTTGATATTTTTATAAAGAAATTAAAGGATTGTTTGGTATCCCTCCCACCCCCCCCCCCCCCCCCCCCCCAGTTATGGGGCTGGAACTCAGGGCTTGGGTGCTGTCCCTGAGCTCCTTTGCTCAAGGCTAGTGCTCTACCACTTTGAGCTACAGTTCCACTTCTGGTTTTTGAGTGGTTAATTGGACAGAAGAGTCTCATGGAGACTTTTCTGCTGGGGCTGGCTTAGAATGTCAATCCTCAAATCTCAGTCTCTGAGTAGCTAGGATTATAGGCATGAGCCACTGGCACCTAGCTAAAGGAATGATATATATATATTTTTTTAATGAAAAACATGCTTCAATAGAAAGACATTCTAAAACTTAACTTTGAAAATGAATGACTACAAAGAAGGAAACAACACTTTCTAACACATCATAATTACTAATGATTTAACATCAAATGTTTTGAAACTTACCTAATTTACTATCCAAAACTGCCTGCATGAAAGACTGGAGTGGGAGAAGCTGGCTGATGAGAAGGTCCAGTGTCACAAGGAAAGCACATGCGACCTCCTCCTGCTGTGCTTTGGAAATCCTGGCAGCATACAGACTGGGAGGAAGCTTGCTGGAAAGACAGGCAAAAAACCCATTTACAATTGTGTCCTAAAACCATGTTGTAGAAATATGCAAAAAATATACCAGTGCTGGTAGCTCACAGCTATCAATCTAGCTACTCAATTGGCTAAGAGCTGCAGATCACAGCTCAAAGCCAGCCAACGCCTGGAAATGGACATGTGGCTCAGGTACCAGAGCTCCAGCTATGCTACTGTAAGGGAAAAAGCTGAGGGAGAGCTAAAGACAAGCCCAAGTACAGGTACACAGATAACTTAAAATAGAATATTTGCATTTACTATGAAGCAATACTGTTTTTCAGCAGCAAGAGCTTTATAAGAAATAAAGTACACTAATGCTAAGGGGGATTAACTTTATGCAAATGTTTCAGTAATTGGGCTCTAAATAACTCTTTATCCAATCAGATATGTATTCAATATTTTGTCTCTACTTTGTGGTAAATGTATTTATTAACGTAACATGTATCTATTAGTGATGTGTAAGGAAGTAGTTAAGAATACTACGTTTAGTAAAACTCACATGGAATCTATCCTTCAAAAGCTTCTATATTCAATTACTTTAGGCAAGCAGACAAAAATTTACTACAACCTTAAGAAAAACCACTTTGATATTTTATTTTAAATGAAGATGTATTTAAACTTCACATGCAACAAATGGTATTGAGACAGTTTAAAAATTGTAAGACTTTCTTTTTACCTGTATATTTGAAGATATAGCCGGTGCAATACAGAGCAAGAATCAGAGAGGAAAGGATGGAATTCCTAAAATAAAACAATACTGTTTATTCTTTGAACACATGATTTTCCAATATATATTCTCCCCCATTATCTGCATATCCCACATTTTAAAAAATAATCTTAAGTGAGAAAGAATGAAAAGGAGCTTGAGGCTAAGTACCGACAACTCTTTACTGTTATTCCTACCATCATAACCATGGTTATCAGTTATCAAGCATCTAGTATGTAACTAGACATACATCAAGTGACATTTCAGTTCTCTATATGTACTATGTTATTATGTCCATTTCATAGAAAAGAAAGCTGAAGGTCAGCTATCAAGTAACTTTGAGTATGTAGCTAAAAATCATTAAGGCTGGGATTGCAGGCCCAGGCGTAATTTCCTCACCATTATGATCAGTATATCTCTTAGAAGGTAATGGTTTGTACTAAATTTTAAGATTTAAGGTAAACACATGCCCAAACAGCTAAATCCAGAACTAAACTTTAAGACTATGTAGGGAGGTCTAGATGGTTCATGCCTGCCTGTAATCCTGTCTACTTTGAAGTCTGAGAACCAGAGGACTGAAGTTCAAGGCCAGTGCTGACAGCAAGGTCCAAGAGTCCCCTCTCAGTAGAAGAAGCTGATTATGTTAGTGTGCCTATAATCCCAGCTCTGACAGAAACTGTAGAATAGGCAGTGTGGTCCAGGAATGTAAGCAAGACACTATCTCAAAAATAGTGCAAATAGGGCTGAAGATGTGGCTCAACAATTTAGTGCCTACTTAGCAAATGTGAGGCATTGAGGTCAACCCCGTAGCACAAAAAATTATACACATATAAACTTAACATGTAAATGTTTGTTTACATAAAACATCACACTGCCTTATTATGTATAAATTTCAGTATTTGATATATACTTAAATGTTTGCTTAAAAGAAAAAAAGATTTACGGTAAAAAAGCTGGCCATCAAGTTAAAATGGAAGGATTATGTAGGACTATAAACCAGCCAAGGAGTGAAGAATATGAAGGGGGGAGGGGTGAATATGATCAAAGTACTTCATACACATACAAAAATAGTATGAGGTCCATTAAAATTGTTTGGTTACAACAGAAGAGTGACGGTGACTTTGATCAAAGTACATTATATGTACCGATGACAGCCTTTTGTACTAAAAAAAAGAAAAAAAAGTTAAAATACCCCGGCTTTTAAAACCTGGTGTGCCTTCAACACACCAAGCAAGCATCAAATGGGTAACTATCATCATGTGCCATTTGCATACCACCCACACTGTACCTCTGCCACTAGAATATACACCTTGCATGCTGCAGAGAACCAACGATAAAAAGCAGACAACCACTCTAAGAGGTAACTACCCAGAAGGATCACTTGATCCATCTACCAAGCCTAGCAATGAGAAGGAAACAGGGCATCAGCCCTGAATTCTGAAGATAATGTCTTCAGAGATCCTTCTTCCTTCAAAAATAAACGTCGAAAAGAAAACATGAATAATCAATGTCTGCAAATCATTAACATCTATTACTCCTTCTTTTATTGACAGTCTGCCTGGGCAACTTATATTCTGTTCATAAAACATCAAGTATTACTGCCATCCTAATAACTCCCAAATAGGCAGATTTCCTTAAAATTGACAGTTTTGAGGGTTTGAGCATTTAAATGATTGAATTCAGAAATATAAAAGAAATAATGGGTGAATAGTATTCAAAGACAAATTCAATTGCTTCCTGAAAATTCATGTTTACAGAAATAATTTTGTTTACATTTACATTAATATTTTTTCAGAAAATTTAATAAAAATAATGGCAGCTACTTGAAAATCTATCAGATGCTCAAAAGTAAATTCAGAAAAAGATAAATACAGAAGATTGGCTTTGGCACTGATAAAAATAGATAATTCACAATTCATAATTTAGCATAGACTTTTATGATTAAAAAAAAACCTTACCTTAGTATAGTGCAACAGGGAGTTGGCAAAGAAACGACATAATTTGAGTGTTTTCTGAAATAATCTGTAGTCAGCATTATCCTGTTTCAAAATAAGGAAATAGGCAAGCATAAAAATATGAAATTGGCCAAACTTATAAGATGAATTTTCCCCAAAACACTTAATTTTCCAAGAAAATTTATTTTCTGCACACTGGTTAAGCAATACAAATACTAAAGGACGGGGCTGGGAAGGTGGCTCAGTGGTAAAGCGCTTGCCTTGCATGCCAGAGGCCCTGGGTTCGATTCCTCAGCACCACATAAGCAAAAAGAAAAAAAGCCAGAAGTGGCACTGTGGCTCAAGTGGTAGAGCGCTAGCCTTGAGCTGAAGAGCTAAGGGACAGTGCCCAGGCCCAGAGTTCAGGCCCCATAACCGGACACAAAAAACAAAACAAAAAAAAAAACAAAAAAACAAATACTGAAGGACAACAGAGGCACTTCAAATAGTTAATCCTGTATTAGTGAAAGTAACAGTAACTTACCACAGAAAAAGAGGTGAGTGGTCTTTAAGAGTTGACTTGAAAGTGAAATTTAAATAATCCATTATCACTCTCTACTATATAAGAATCAGGTTAATAGTTAAAAATTAAAAACAAAACAAAAACCCCAGATCCTGATATATTAAAGAAAATAGTTAAAAGAAATTAAAAAGAAAAAATACAAGCCATCAATTAATACTGAAGAAGTCCAAATTACAAACTAATTATCTGTCTTTTGGAGAGAGAAAGCACGAAAGCTAATAAAGATTAAAACCAAAAAGTATACACTATCCCTAAGCTGGAAAGTAGGGGAATAAACGCTTTCTTTAATCATTGGTAGAAGAATAAAACAACTTTATTTTTATCAAGAACTAAAGTATAAAATTCCTTGACTAAATAGCAATTCAATTTCTGGAACTTTATCTTACAAACACAAATACTAACACAGGTATGTTATACAAAGTTTTTTATATCATGAAAGCTGAAATAACCCAACTGTCCATCATATGGATAGTGACTTAGTACATTTCTGCTATTTGCATATAATTACAAACAACTACTAAAGAGAATAGGGTAGATATACTGTCATGGACATAAAAAGCTCAAAGACAGATTAAAAGTTTTAAAGTACTGTCATAAAGTTAAATTACATTGATAAACGTTCTCTAATTGTGTGCATTATTTTATTTTAAAAAATCCGTTGGGGCTGGGAAGGTGGCTCAGTGGTAGAGCGCTTGCCTTGCATGCATGAGGCCCTGGGTTCAATTCCTCAACACCACATAAGCAAAAAGAAAAGAGCTGGAAGTGGCGCTGTGGCTCAAGTGGTAGAGCGCTAGCCTTGAGCTGAAGAGCTGAGGGACAGCGCCCAGGCCCAGCGTTCAGGCCCCACGACCAGACACCCTCCCCCCCCCAAAAAAATCCCTTAATGTTGAGCATGTTTAATTTTTTTCAAATACAGCGAAACTAATAAAACGTAATCAAAATATGTTAATGATGCACTAAATGAATACAACACTTCATTCTGACTTTCATTAAAAATTGAAAAGTGACTTATCTATAAATGACCTAATTTAATGTACTTTATTCTAAAGTCCAAATACATTAAGACAAAGAAAGTTGTTTGGAAAATGTCCTAAATATACGTAGTGAGTAGCAAAGACATTACTAATCAGAATTTAAAGTATACAAACTAAGTTGTTTCAACTGATTGTCAGATTCAAACTCGCACAATGATCAAACACATGAGACTTTGGCTAGTTAGGAAACTTTTCAATTAAATTCTTTGATTTTTATACACAGTTAATATAAATTACACAATAACCATTCTGGCTAGTATGCTCCTGACTCAAGTCTACTCTTGGCACTACAGACTGTATTGTTCCTTGGGCTTTCTCTGCCTCCTTTTGTCCAAGAAATTATCAACTAATCTTATTTTCTACATACTAGCTACAGAATGTGTAGTATCAAGATAGGCAAAAAGGAAGTTATTAAGTGAGATGCTGACGACACAGAACACAGGACAAAGATGGGAACAACCTCTCTGCAAGGGTCAAGTAACCTTCCCTTTTCAGCCAGCTGAGGGAACCTTGCTGAAAGAGATCTAAATGTAGAACAGACAAGAGAAACGGAACAGCTGTGAAAGGAAAAAGCTAGCCGCTTTCTAACACAATTCCTCACTTCTTAGCACTTCCAGAACTCTTCTCAAAGTTCTACCCCCATCTACGCTCAGTCCTTCCTGATTATCTCTACTCCTAGAGTTGCCAACCACAAGTTTTAGGCCTGGATGAATTTCTATGCTTCAATTCCCACAGCTGCTTGGTGGAGAAGAATACAGACATAAATGAATCTGTACCACCTTGCAGGTCTACAAGAGATTGAATAGTCCCTGTTTTAGGAAGAAATTTCCAACTCATTTCCCACTCGTGTGATTACATACAGCTAGTAGGCCCTAAGTAGTTAACCTAGGGCTGTTTAAATAAAATTAGAGCACCAGTCTGAGAACAAAAAGTAATTGTTATAGGAAAATGAGCTGCAACTGTCCACCTTTTTACAGACTTTTAGAACACTTACCTGTTTTACAAACAAGACACCAATTCAACACTGACTTCTTGAAGTCAGAATATAAATAAGTACATACCAGTTTCAAAAGACTGATATACACATACATACAGGTATCACTAAAGATTGCAATAAAGATATTTTTGTCTTTGTGGCTATCAGGAAGACCTATTAGAAAAAAAAATTTTTTTTAAATCTCAGGAGAATGCCTTGAGCAACCACGATGAGAGATATATAAACTCTAGAGGTGATAAAAACAAATTAATGAAATGTTCTGAATAAAATATAATTACCAACCATAAATAACCCTACAAATTATTTACTGTTCTTCAGTACAGTGATCCATATATTCAAGTGTAATTAGATAACTGCAAAGGAACTAAGAATTATTTCTAGTGCTGTTAGCCAAATTTACCTGTGATTCTGACTGTGCCATCTGTTCAGCCAACTGTAAACAAGAATGGAAGGAAAACAGAATGTCTTCACATAAACTAGAAATTATATCTTTGTGTTTCAATTGGTTCTTTACAAGTGACTGGTGCTTAAGGCTCTGCCTAAATAAAAAAGAAAACAAAAAAATCACTACAGGTAACACAACCAATAACTCAAGACAATATCTTTACAGGACACTTAAAAGTACATATAACATATCCTTTATATTCAAGGTGATACATTTTGTTTCTGAAGCACCTGAACGTATTTAAGTTAGTTCCCAAGGTTTCATTTCCCCATGTCAAGTATTAGCTGAGCTCACTCCATTCCGGACATTCTGTCAGGCCCTGGAGCTAAGAACACAAATGAACACCATCTCTGCCCTATCTGTATGAGTGTGAAATAACTGCAAGAATAATTATTGCAGTGTGGTAAATGCTAAGATGCAAAAGTCTAAATGCTACAATTAGGGACTTAATCTTATTCTGAAAGTCAGGTTTTCAAAGAATATACTGTCATAAAGATAACCCTGAAGCTGAGAACTAAAATGTAAACAGCAGTAAACAGCATGCACAGAAGGAGAGAGAGAAAAGCAGTCAAAGATGCAGGGAAAGGAGAATTTTACACGCTTGAGACTATCATGAGATAGGCTAGTGATGGAAGCAAGGTCCAGAGAGATTTTTAGGTTGTTACAACCTAAAATCCTGGTACAATAGGATAGCTTTTAAGTAGCATAATGACACGATCTGATTTACTTATTAAAAGGACCACTCTGAGGCAGGGCATGATGGTTTATGCCTATAATTCTGCTACACTGAAGTAGAAATCAGGAGAGACATGTCAATCATGGCTTGAAGCCAACACAGCAAAAAATACTAGTAAGACTCCATTTCAACAAAACAATTTAGGCATGATGGGTGATACACACGTACAAACCTAGCTACCAGGATTCAGAAAGTGAAAATTACTTTATAAATAAGATTATACTTAAGTCTAATCTTATTATTTAATATTTATATTTATTATTTAATAAACATAAGGAAGGAATTACATTACAGCTCTACAGTATTTACTAATTTACCTAAGCTTAGAAACAGGATACTTGACAGAGGATTAAACAACAGTAGCAGAAGGCAAGTGATACAGGCATAATCTGGTCCACAGATAACTATTTCATATCTAGCTAACTATACAAGCATTCCCATCCTCTGCCCCATTTTAGGAGTATGAGAATAAAGAAGTCCAGCTTGGTTTGGGACTACAAGTAGGACAGCTGGCTTACCAAACAGTAGCTACACACATCCACATACAACGTGTCAAGAACCATTTAAGGAAACATGAATAACCAGGATGCAGGCTACAGAAAACATGTTATAGGAAGTAAAAACTAGTCAAGCACTAGTGGCTAAAACCTGCAATGCTAGCTACTCAAGAGGCTGAGATCTTGGGATCAAGGGTCAAAGGCAGACCAGGCAGAAAAATCCTCAAGACCGTATCACCAATTAGAGAAAGCTGGACTGGAAGCATGGCTCAAATGGACTGAAGTGCCTGCTGTGACTGATAGCGTCAAGCAAGAGTGCTAGGCCCTGAGTTTTTAAAGTCCTGATACTAAACATAAAAAAAACTTTTAAAACCCCACAAAACTAAAAATGAATAAACTTACTTAATTATAAACTTCCACGTATTGGCATGAAATGCTTGATCCATACTGGAAATAACAGAGCAGATGTCCAACAATGAATGGATAACTACAAAGAGAGATAACAGAACTCTTAGGATATTCAAATGTCCTATGGGCTGTTTCTCCTATATTTAAAAGTATCTCAGGAGGCTGAGATCAGAGGATCATGGTTTAAAGCCAGCCTGGGCAGAAAAGCTCTCAAGACTGCAGCTCCAAAATAACCTGCAAAAATGTGGGCTGGAAGCATGGCTCAAGTGGCAGAGTATCAGCCATTAACAAACAAGCTGAGCTAAGCACAAGGCCCTAAGTCCAAACCCTGGTTCTAGAAAGTTCAAATGAATATTTCAGGATTTGATTCAATTAAAACAGATAATGAAGAGCAAGCAGCTCCCAGGCCGGCACAGTGCAGAGAGTCAAGCAAGGTAGTGAGAAGAGCGTGGTCCTGCAGGCCTGTCTCCTGATGGAGCCACCGGCAGCGCTTGAGCCCCTTTAGTTTCTGTTCCCTGAGCCTCTGGGCTGGGCCAGCTATGGCATGTGATCTTCCCAGGCAGGGGAGCTGCAGCCTGGGCCTGCTGCTGCCCCACTGGGGAGCTGGGTAGGGGCCAGAGCTGCTGAATCCACTATTCTTTTTGCCTCCAAATCCCCTTTCCTGCTGTTCCAGTTTTTCAGTTCTCAAGCAGTTCTCAACAGGCTCTCAATGCAGACATACAAACAAGTATTTATTGAATGAACTGACAAGGTACCTAAGATTTGCTGTTAGTAACCAACTGGGGGTAGGGACTGTGGTGCAATAAAGATAGGAATAAAGCTGGGCGCTGGTGGCTCACGCCTGTCATCCTAGCTCCTCAGGAGGCTGAGATCTGACGATCGCCGTTCAAAGCCAGCTCAGGCAGGAAAGGCCATGAGACTCTTATCTCCAATAAAAACCACTCAGAAAACCAGAAGTGGCACAGTAGTAAGTATATGGTACTGCAGGCCCCCAAGTGGAGGGCAGAGTCCCAAGACCACCATCCACTGGGGGTCATTGCTGTCAGGAAGGAAGGTCATCTGCACAGACCCTCCTAGAGGAACAACGGTAAAGATCCAACCAGACAGTGGAGGATGAACACCCAGAGAACCATCACTGGGGCTCCTACTTTGGCCACAGAGAATGGTAATCTGCCCAGACCCTCGCGGACTACCAACAGCATACTCTGGAACAGAGCCCCCCCCCCCCCCCCACTGAGGTTTGTTTGTATGGCAGAGGAGAGGCTTCTGAATGACCAATGATGACAAATGTCCAACCACTGTGGACCCAAGCAGTGGGAACAGAGCCCCAGGGTGCCATCTACTGGGTGAACATCTCTGCTCCAAAGCGGAAGGGAAGGCCCATGGGAACTGGCTGCTGAGCAGTGTCAGCAGCTGGAAAGATTAAACCACGCCAGGGTCAGGCGGCCTCAAAGGTCACCAACACAGAGCAACTCGACTTGAGCCCTACACCAAAGCAGAGGTCACCAAGGCTCTGCGATTCAACTTGACACTCAAAAAAGACAGAGGTCACCAAGAATGAATGATGTGACTTGAGACCCAAAAGAGCTGCTGAACCTCTTGATGTCAGGTAAGCTGAAAGCACAGGACACGAAACGACGCCAGGCCGCCTCAAACACCAACACGGGGCTAAAGAGCTGCCCACTGATGGACAGCTTTCTTAAATTCAACACTACGTTTCACTCTACAGCCAAAAAAGACAAGAGTGCAAAGTCACCTTGATCAGCAAGAGCACGCAAGAAGACGAGAGTCCCCAATTAGCTGAGACCACAGCTGCTGAAATCTAGGCTGCTTAAACGTATTCAGCAACAGAAGGCACCAAACCAGACAAGGCCACGTCAAGCACCAAGATCAAGAATCAAACTGCAAGCCCCCAAACACAGCACAGCCAACCCACTGGACTCCTAGAACCACCTTGCCCAACAAGAAAGAACGTTACCATCCGCCCCAAAAGACGCGGCCAAACCCTATCATTCCAAATGTTAAACTTCATTGACCCTCAATGGTCACTAACAATGTATATGTCACAAGTCCCCTAGGAGAAGGGGGCCCAGCCACTGGACTTTTGGCTGCCAGGCGAAATTTGATGACCAAAGAGAAAATTAACCACTCAATGATGGCTCAAGCAAAATAAGAGTATTTGTCAGAGCTGAGAAGCATCTGAACAGCAGAAAGCCAGTTTCAGTGCCAATATCCCTTGTTATTGACCCCTAAGGGAAAAACTCCAAGTGCTTCCCAAACTTGGATGAAGTGAGTGAATGCCTAAGGCCTCACACCAGACCTCCTGCCTTAGCAAGTCACCTCATGTGAATGACAGACTTGCCCAGGTAAACATGCGATTGGTTCTAAGAACATACTTCTAATTGCTTCAGACATCACCCACAGAACACCAAATGTTGGGGACCAGATGTCTTGCTATGAGTTGAAAAAAATCTGAAAACTACTATCTCAGTACATGGACTGTGTTATAGAGCACAAAGTAGCATAGCTTGCTTTGTTAAATCTTACGCAAATGTATAGTAAGGAACCAAAAAGTTTTACACTTAAAAAGCTGGACACTTACCCACTACTGAACAGACATCGTGAATCACTAGAAACAATATTGTAAACAGCAAGTTTTCTTCACTCACCTATTACCATATCCAAAATATCATCATTTGAATCTACTGATGGGTCCAGGAAAACTGCGTCCAGCAATTCCATCAGCTGCTTTTGAAGAGAGTAAGCCTCCTTGAAAAGAGCCTGGAGAAGGTCCGAGACTAGGTGCAAACGTCCAGAATACACAGATTCACTGTTCTGATCGCAAAAACATAATAAGAGCAAATGTAAGCCTTATAAAAAAGCTCAAGAGCCAAATTTAGTGAACTCATTCTATCAGAGATCATAAATTTAACACTTTTAACCAAACTACATATTAAAACACCTGGTTTGGGCTGGGAAGGTGACTCAGTGGTAGAGCGCTTGCCTTGCATGCTCAAGGCCCTGGGTTCGATTCCTCAGCACCACATAAGAAAAAAGCCGGAAGTGGCGCTGTGGCTCAAGTGGTAGAGCACTAGCCTTGAGCTGAAGAGCTGAGGGACAGTGCACAAGCCCAGAGTTCAGGCCCCATGACCGGACCCAAAAAAAAAAAAAAAAAAAAACACCTGGTTTTAATGCATAACTAATTTTTTATAGAGATGTAATTTTTTATTATGTAATTTTTATAATTTATAATTATAAATTTATAATAATTGTAATTTATAATTATGTAATTTTTTATAGAGATTAAGCATGTGTAAAATGATCTCTCACTTTCATGATCTTTCAAATACAGAATTAAAACAAAAAGAGGTAAGTGTATGGCATTTTAGCACACTGTCACCAAGTAAAATTATTAATTAGTATTTTTAATTTCCTCAACAAATGTAAATATCAAAGCTGCCTATGCCCTATAAATTCTTACCAAGCTTTTGTGCATTAAAGCTACTTCAGTAATGTAGAGATGACTAAGGGTTAACTTCCCTCCGTAGAACAAAGTTCAAGCACTTACTCATTAAGGTGAGGATACACAAAGACTGTACGACACAAAGACTACAGTACTTCCGTGATTACATACAAATAAGATAGAACAAAATGGCCCTTAAGGGGCCACTCTTTAGGACTACATTTTATTTTTCTATTTTAGTTGGCACTTTGCCACTGAAACTAAACTACTTATTCAGACCTATTACTTACCTTACAATGTACAAATGTACTTCTGATTACATGAAGGACAGAAGAAGGGAGACTATGAATTTTCTCCAGAACGACTGAGTCCTGGGTGGTGCAGACATGCTGAACACATCCTGTAAGAACTTCCAAGACCTGTACCATTGTCTGGAAATAAGATGTTTCATTCTAAATGTAAGTTTCTGTGTATACTAAAAGAGATATCCAACAATATGCTGTGTGCTAGTGGCACAGCAGTGAACAAAACTCTTCTCTTTTCACAGAACCACAAATGTTAAACCCACTGGCTAGCAATTTGAACGCCTAACCCACACTTCAACGCATACTGCAAGCATTCTACATATACGCCTTCAAATTGCAGGAAGGGTATTATCTTGTTATTTTTCCTCTTTTCATAGGAAAGCAGGTATATACCTACTATGAAAATGTATAAAAGAATTCAGAATTCATCTTTCTATATTCATTTTAAGTCATCACATTTATTCCAAAAATACACGGCTTATCAACAGGATAAAAATTGTTTATTTACTTAAAAAGAGAGTTTCACATTTTTGGGCACCAGTGGCTCATGCCTAACATGCCAGCTACTCAGGAAGCTGAGATCTAAGGATTGCAGTTCAAAAATTTTCTGCCCAGCCCGGGCAGAAAATTCCGTGAGACTCTTATCTCCGATTAAACCACTCAGAAAATTGCAAGTGGCGCTATGGCTTAAGTAGTAGAGTGCTTGCCTTGAGCTGAAGAGCTGGGGGACAGCGCCCAGGCCCAGAGTTCAGGCCCCACAACTGACAAAAAAAAAAAGAGGGTTGTGTCACTATCTAGCCTAGGCTGGCCTAAAACCTGCAACGCTCCCGCCTCAGCCACCCAAACGCTAGGACTACAGGCATAGAGACAGCTTACTCAGCTGCTCTTGCTCCCTTCTAGTACATTGAACTTACTTGTAAAATATTCCTCAGAGTGGTCTGGATTTCTAAATTTTGGCTTGACAGACCTCCAGCTTGACTGGTTAATTCATATATCATGTCATCAAATAACTTTACAGTCTATGGGGGGGAAAATCATAGGAATGACTTATATTTATAAATAGTAATACAAATGACTAGAATAATAAAGGTAAATCTTTAAAGAAAAAAAAGCACAGTAGGTTGACTTGACTTTACATTAGTAGCAACCACTCATTGTCTAGCTTAACAACTACAGCCAATTAGGTTAAAAAATATTAATTAAAGTTTTCTACAACACAGTCCCTAAATTAAGCCTTGGGAAGAAATGTACATTTCTATTATTTCAGCCTATTTAATAACACCACTAATAGTTAATAAAACCACTCAGTTCATTTGCAGATGCAACAAATACAAATAATTCATCTTAATCAGAATTCATGTGGGCATTTACAAAGCTACTTTCTGCTAGTGGTCATAATTTGTAATGAATAATCCATTCTGACTACTTTGCTTTTCTGACCAATTCAAGATACCCTTCTTAAATTAGGACTACAGCATGTAATCTCACAACTAAACTTTTTGTCTAAAAAGTTAACTTAACCATAAGATCAAATGTAATTTTAAAAAGACGCGTTAACACTCACATCTCTGCTTTCACTAAGAGCTAGATGTTTTTCTGGTAGTAATGAAAAGGTTCTAAGAAATGTTCACAGAGCAAATAATCAAGTAACTGAGCAAAAGGGATTCTGATGACTAAAAGGTAAACTTAGAAATCTGCCTTAGTAAAAGACAAGTTATCCTAAATAATTTTATTTTGACCCCAAAATAACTTTAGTTCCCTCCACTTAAAAAAGACACATACATCTAAAACAGTAATAATGCAGTTTGTGAGTTAATGTTTTCTCTTAGTTACTTGAGCTTACAAATATTCCAGCTTTTCTTCTTTTAAAACTTTAATAAATTTTGGCTCTATTTAACCATTATGTATTACAGAGAATATAAAACAAAGTGACTTTGCTAACTTCCCATTCCAAATTTGCATTAAAAGCTTAAAATGTAAGTATATTTAAAGGCAATCATAAATAATGTAAATTAATAAAGGATCCATCATTTAGTGAAGGATCTGAAAAATGTTATATTTTATCACCCAATGATCAAACCAACACCATTATAATCTCACATCCCATCTACTTTTTAATACTTATTTTTATTTTGTTTGATTTAAAGAAACAGAGACATAATTATAAATTTAAAAAAAAACCAAGGCTAGGCTTTAACAATCTTTATAACATGTAGATTAAGATAAGCATACTATACCTTTGGTAACACTTGTGAAAAGAAAGCTTGTTCCAGTGTTAGGTGGTTCATATGAGGTAAAAACATCTCTATAATAACTTTCAAAATTTCTGCAAAGCAAAATAACATTTTGTAAAAACACTAAATCATGACAAATGTGAAAATATGTAAGTACCACCAATCTAAAACTTGATAAAGTTTCAAAATCCATGTTCTACATAAACTGTTATTTAATAGCAAAAAAGTCTATAATAGTACAAATAATAAAAAAGCAACATATCTACTTACTATCTACCTATCTTCTATCTATAGCTAAAAAACAGTTTAAATGGAAGAGAATATATCTAATAAACAGGCTCTTCTATCATTAAGATGTATTTTAAAACATACAAAACAATTTCACAATACTTTAATAAAATAAAACAGTAAAAATCCAGTTTTTGTTTTGCTTTTTTTGCCGGTTGTGGGGCCTGAACTCTGGGCCTGGGTGCTGTCCCTCAGCTCTTCAGCTCAAGGCTAGCGCTCTACCACTTGAACCACAGCGCCACTTGCGGCTTTTTCTGCATATGTGGTGCTGAGGAATCGAACCCAGGGCCTCATGCATGCATGCAAGGCAAGCACTCTACTGAGCCACCTTCCCAGCCCCTGAAAGTCCAGTTTTTATGTAATCATGTAGACCCAAAGAACAACAGGCTGATGAGAATGAAGTTATTCTCATGGGAATCTTAACTATTTCAGACTGGTGGACATTTTATTAGCATTTCTAATTCTGTGTACATCTTAGTGCTTTACAATAAATATGCAGAACTTCTAAGGTCAAGATAAAAACAACTGTTACTTTGAAGGAAAAAAAAAAAAACAACAAAACTCAGACTTGAACCAGTGGTTCAAACCTAATGATACAAGCTTCTCAGGAGGCTGAGATCTGAAGATCAAAGTTCAAAGCCTGCCCATGCAGACAAATCCTTGAGACTCATCTCCAACTGATCAGCAAATAGTCAGAAATGGAGGTGTCACTCAAGCAGTAGAGCATCAGCCTTGAGTGAAAAAAGCTAAGGTAGAGTGAGAGGCTCTGAATTCAAACAAACACGCACACAACACACACCTAAAACTAGACTCCTCAACAGGCAATTCAGAATCATAAGTAAGCATACAATCCACAAGCAAGTGAAATACAAAAAGAATGTTAACTCAAAATGAGTAAAGAGAACAGGCCTGAACTCCCTACTCTTCTGGCTGAAGCAGTCTATCACAAGACTTAATACAACAGCTGAAGATGAGAAAGTCAGATTTTTCCAAGGGGCAAATTTGTATCACCTGCTCAAGTAGCCTTTACTAAGTGAGAAAAGTACTTTCTAAATGACACTAAACATGCTAGAGGTTGAAGGTTACTGAGTAAACTGAAAATTATGTTTTATATAGGTCTAATCACGTGCTAACAACATGGAAGAATCACAGTATGCTTACACATAGAGCACCGCATCACCCACAAATCTCCCTGGCACCTAACCAAAATGAAATTAATTTAAACTGTGACCTGAACAAATTTACCCTTCTGACAGAAGTTTACAGAAGGCAGAAATAAAAAATCAAATGTGAAGGAAATGAAACTGCAGTTATATTTACTGACATATGTGGAATTCAGACATTAACAACATCTAAGTGAATCATTGAAACAAAATAATTTTACTTACGGATATGCTCAGTCCAACTCTCAGAATGTTGATACATGGAGTAAAATAGTTAAGGAAGATACAAATAGCATAACAATAGGATATTCATTACTTACAATAAATTACAGAGAACTCCTTTGAAATGTATCAGATTCAAGAGACCGAAATTAGACTCCAAGTACTGGCTTACTTTTACTTTGAAAACTGAAAACGTTTATTAAGAAAACAACAGTACTGTGAAAATACCTTAAGGAAATACTTTAAAAATTGCTGAGGTAGAAGTTCACCTTTTCAAGCTGTGCAGTTATGACTTTGGACGTGAAAAACGGGGTTATTACAATCCATGGTTTCTAGTACAGCTCTCTCCACAGTATTTGTGTCCTTGGTATCTACCGTAAGTCGGACCTATCTTACCCTCCTTACCAGAATGACATTCTGAGCAGCTGTGTTCACCATGAAAGCAGGAAGGACTGCTGTGAACTACACTCGCACACCGATGGACCAGACCGCAGCTATTTTTCTGTAAAACAACGCTATCCTTAAAGAACCTGTCAGCGAGAGACGAACGCTCCTGACTATCACAACCCAGGAGCGGACTGCTCCGAAATCTGCACCTCTGCACGTGTTCGCAGCAGCAGCAGCAGCGAAGGGGATACAGCGCGGCCAGGAGCCCACGTCGAGCTCCGGGAGGTGGAATTCATCGTGAATTTTCCATCGCGAAACCCCCGAGGCGGCGGCTGCAGGCGGCGGCTCCGCTCCCCCCAGGCGGCGGCTGCAGGCGGCGGCTCCGCTCCCCCCAGGCGGCGGCTGAAGCGGGCTCCGCTCCCCCAAGGCGGCGGCTGCAGGCGGCGGCTCCGCTCCCCCCAGGCGGCGGCTGCAGGCGGCGGCTCCGCTCCCCCCAGGCGGCGGCTGCAGGCGGCGGCTCCGCTCCCCCCAGGCGGCGGCTGCAGGCGGCGGCTCCGCTCCCCCCAGGCGGCGGCTGCAGGCGGCGGCGGCGGCTCCGCTCCCCCCCCCCCCCCCCCCCGAGGCGGCGGCTGCAGGCCGCGGCTCCGCTCCCCCCAGGCGGCGGCTGCAGGCGGCGGCTCCGCTCCCCCCAGGCGGCGGCTGCAGGCGGCGGCTCCGCTCCCCGCGAGGCTGCAGGCCGCAGCGGCTCCGCTCCCCCGAGGCGGCGGCTGAAGCGGGCTCCGCTCCCCCGAGGCGGCGGCGGCTCCGCTCTCCCTCGCTCCGCTCCGCCCGCGCTCACCGAGGCCCGCCGCCCGCCCCGCGCCGCCCGTTCCGGGCCCGCCCCGCGTCCCCCGCCCGCCCCGCGTCCCCCGCCCGCCCCGCGCCGCCCGTTCCGGGCCCGCCCCGCGCCCCGCGCCCGCCCCGCGCCCCCCGCCCGCCCCGCGCCGCCTGTTCCGGGCCCGCCCCGCGTCCCCCGCCCGCCCCGCGCCGCCTGTTCCGGGCCCGCCCCGCGTCCCCCGCCCGCCCCGCGCCCCGCGCCCGCCCCGCGCCCCGCGCCCGCCCCGCGCCGCCTGTTCCGGGCCCGCCCCGCGTCCCCCGCCCGCCCCGCGCCCCGCGCCCGCCCCGCGCCCCGCGCCCGCCCCGCGCCCCCCGCTCCGGGCCCGCCCCCCGCCCCGCGCCCGCCCGCGCCGCCCGCTCCGCGCCCGCCCCGCGCCCCGCGCCCGCCCCGCGCCGCCCGCTCCGGGCCCGCCCCCCGCCCCGCGCCCGCCCCGCGCCGCCCGCTCCGGGCGAGACCACCGCCAAGGATATGAGCAGCCGCGGCAGGACGGACGGCAGCTCCCGCCGGCACGTCTCCTCCGGCCAGCCGCTCACCTCCTCCAGGGGCCCCGCGCTCGCCGCGGCCGCGCGCTCCTGCGCCATGCTCCCGCCGCCGACGGCCGCGAGCTCCTACCGCTCCCGCCGCCGCCGGAAGGGGCGCCGTCCCACAAGGCTTTGCGCGCCCGCTACCGCCACAGAGAGGAAGCGGGCGGCGCGTCCCCGGGTGAGGGCGCTCCTCGCTGGCCGGCAGCCAGCGGGGCCTCTCTAGCCGGCTGGAGGCCTCGACTCACGGCCGAGCGCGCCTCGGCGCGGGGTGGCGCGGGGCCCGCGCGCTGCGGGTTTTACACCGGCCGGGGGACGAGGTAGGCGTGCTGCCGCAGCCTGGCGACCCTCGGCCCCGAGCCAGGCCGCTGCGCCGGCGGACGGGCCGGGCTCGGCTTCCCGGCGTGGGCCCCGCGCACGGACCCGTGCGTGCGTGCGGGGCGGACGAGGGCGTCGCGTCCGGTAGGCCCCGTCGTCTCCCCGGCGCGGGCCTCCGTGAGCGCGGCCTCGGTGAGCGCGGGCCTCGGTGAGCGCGGCCTCGGTGAGCGCGGGCCTCGGTGAGCGCGGGCCTCCGTGAGCGCGGGCCTCGGTGAGCGCGGGCCTCGGTGAGCGCGGGCCTCCGTGAGCGCGGGCCTCCGTGAGCGCGGGCCTCGGTGAGCGCGGGCCTCGGTGAGCGCGGGCCTCCGTGAGCGCGGCCTCGGTGAGCGCGGGCCTCCGTGAGCGCGGCCTCGGTGAGCGCGGGCCTCCGTGAGCGCGGGCCTCCGTGAGCGCGGGCCTCCGTGAGCGCGGGCCTCGGTGAGCGCGGGCCTCCGTGAGCGCGGGCCTCGGTGAGCGCGGGCCTCCGTGAGCGCGGGCCTTGCCGCCACACCGAAGTCTATTATTCAGGGCAGGGAACGCGTGGTACGCAGGTTTGGACCCAACGCTTTAGATGAAGTCACCTGAATGAGCGTGTGTGCACATGTCAGGACGAACGTGTGCACGCCAGAGCATGTGCACATGTCAGGACGAACGTGTGCATGCCAGAGCGTGTGTGCACATGTCAGAACGAACGTGTGCACGCCAGAGCGTGTGCACATGTCAGAACGAACGTGTGCACGCCAGAGCGTGTGTGCACATGTCAGAACGTACGTGTGCACGCCAGAGCGTGTGTGCACGTGTCAGGACGTATGTGTGCACGCGTCAGAGTGTGTGTGCACGTGTCAGGACGTATGTGTGCACGCTCCAGAACATGTGCACACACGCCAGAAAGTACATGTACGTACCTTAAAGCCACACTCCCTAAATCAAAATGCAGCCTTAAATCCCCATGAACTTTCTTAGGCAGTAACGGGAGTGAGCAGATGGTGCAGGTTTAGAGGATGGATGTGTCAGCACAACGAAGACAGCTAAAAGACACGAGGTATCCGGGCCGAAAGCCGTGGACTTCGTGCAAATGGAGCAAAAAGCAAAGCCCTGAGTTCAAACCTCAGTGTAGCGAGCGTGCGTGCATGCATAAGTAAACAAACAAGCAGCGTTTAAATCTTGAACTTTATGTTCATTCTGCTGCTACCATGGCTGCTGTTGCTGTTCTTAATTTACTTTCTTCTCCAACTTTTGAGTGTAAAAGTGTGTGTTTTCCCAAACCTAATACACACTTATACATCTACTTTAGAGAAGGGAGATATATGTGGAAAACGACTTGATATTCTAGACATTTTGGTTTAATCATTTTTTTTTATTTTTCTACTTTAGGGCTAAGTTGAAAGAAGAACAAAGAACTCTATAAAAAGTCTTTAGAAACGTTTCTAAGTGCTTGTCATTGTGTATAAGCAGCTAAACAGAAACTGACGCAACAAAAACTCATTGAATAACTGAAGCAGATTTGAGTGTATCGTCACATTGTTTAGAAGTTGAAGCACCTTCCTTTGAATTGAAGGATTGGGTGCTGAGAAGAAGAAGATGACCTTTCAATTTAATTTCCCAATAGAAGGCCAGTTTACCACCCTTGGGGACGGAGTTTTGACCCTGGATGCCTCAAAAGAATCATCAGCCGCAGAAAGTGGAAAAGGAACACAGAGGGACAGAAAATGTCCCACAGCAGCATTTGTGGTGCCTTCGAATCATTTGTTGAAAACTACATCACTGGGAAATTCAGACCCCTCCCAAGACTCTGATAGCACACTCAGTGCAACAAAGGGACCAGGGGATTTGGAGCCAGGTGAAAATCAGCCCTGCTTGAGAGTTGCCAAAGAGCATGCGATGCCTGAAGACGTAAAGAAGGTGTTAGAAAATAAGGTCAGAGAAATGTTACCAGGTCTCCAGCAGGTTAGACTGTCAGTGGTGAAAAACAGCTTGTTGAAAGGGAACTTCCCTGGAGAAAGCCTTTCCTCTCACTCTGATTTGATTCCAGGTGTTTATGAAGGAGGCTTAAAAATCTGGGAATGTACTTTTGATCTTCTGGCTCATTTCACAAAGGCCAAAGTGAACTTTGCTGGGAAGAAAGTGTTGGATCTTGGCTGTGGATCAGGGTTGCTGGGTATATTTGCATTCAAAGTAGGGGCCAGAGAAGTTCATTTTCAAGATTATAACAGTTTGGTGATGGATGAAGTGACCTTACCTAATTTCCTGGGTAACTCGACGTTGGAAGATGAAGAAAACGATGTAAAGGAACAGGTTGTGAAAAGATGCAGAAAATCAAGAGTAGCACAGGAATTAGCCAAATGTCGTTTTTTTTCTGGAGAATGGTCTGAGTTTTGCAAGCTTGTACTAAGCAGTGAAGAACTCTTTGTAAAATATGACTTCATTCTCACCTCTGAAACTATTTACAACCCAGATTATTATAGTGCTTTGCACCAGACATTCCTCCAACTGTTGGGGAAACATGGAAGGGTGCTTTTGGCCAGCAAAGCACATTATTTCGGTGTTGGTGGAGGTGTTCATCTTTTTCAGAAGTTTGTAGAAGAAAGGGATGTATTTGAGACTAGAATCCTTGAAGTAATTGATGAAGGACTAAAGAGGTACCTAATTGAAATGACATTTAAGTATCCAAGTTAATATTTGCCAAGAGACCTAAGTGAAATAAAGCCAGTGACCCAAAACTTACGGATATTTGATTTCTGTTCTACAATTTGTTAAAGTTTTTTCCCCCCCTGAGATTATAGAGTTGGTTTAGTTTTGTTTCTACAAGTAATAAGCCAATTATGTTACCCGCCTGGTATTTGCTGGGTGAAACTGAGAAAGTATCTGAACATTTGATGAGATCTTGGTAATCATCTTGTTGAAAAGGTTTCTGTTCTCCGTCTTCATTCTGTTTAACCCTTCTACTGCTTTTTTTTTTTTTTTTTCCTGGTCATGGGGCCTGGGCTCTGGGCCTGGCCGCTGCCCCTCAGCTCTTCAGCTCAAGGCTAACGCTCTACCACTTGAGCCTCAGTCCCACTTCTAGCTTTTTCTGCTTATGTGGTGCTAAGGAATTGAACCCAGGGCCTCATGCATGCAAGGCCAGCACTCTACCACTGAGCCACCTTCTCAAACCCCCTTCTACTGCTTTTGTCGAAGGTTATCCTACAGTTTTTGTTTTTACCAGAAATGTGAATTTCTTTGTTCTTTTTTTCCATGTCTAGATTTAGTCCACTAAATGATAGTTAACCTAAATATTAGGTTGAAGGCCTGCTAGAACTAGAAAGAAGATTTTTCTTTTTTAATATTTGCCTTATATAGTAAGGAATTGAATTTTAATATCTGCCTTATATTGTAAGGAATTGGAGCTGAGTGGTTGAATTCGTATTGACATGAGACACTGAGGAGTCTGATAAAGAATATAAAAGTGGCCTGGCGCTGGTGGCTCACGCCTGTAATCCTAGCTACTCAGGAGGCTGAGATCTGAGGATCGCGGTTCAAAGCCAGCCCGGGCAGGAGAGACCGTGAGACTCTTATCTCCAATAAACCACCAGAAAACCGGAAGTGGCGCTGTAGCTCAAGTGGTAGAGCGTTCGCCTTGAGCTGAAGAGCTGAGGGACAGCGCCCAGGCCCAGAGTTCAAGCCCCACAACCGACAAAAAAAAAAAAAAAAAGAATATAAAAGTGATACAGATAACTTAATGCTTAAAGGCTGACTACTTGGAGCTGTGTTAGAGACCCTAAAGTCTTGATAGGAAGATTGCTTCAGATTCAGGGAGCGATAGAGTTAATAGTAGGGAATAAAAGGAGGAAAAACATTTTAATGTTCTTATTAGCTCTAGTGCGAAAATGTTCATGTCTCAGCATCTCTGAAGTTGATGTCTGCCACGTTAGCTATAGAAACAACAGTACTGTATTTTCTCTCTTGGAAGTATCATAAACCTCCAGCTTAGATTTTATTAAATATGATATTTTCTTGAGGTCCATCAGTGAGGCCTTGTATGGCATCTTGGTTAATATTTAACAACCTTGAAAGATAGGTATCATCCCCAGTTCAGGAAGGACCATGACTGACAGTTTTCAACATTTACCACATGCATGACATGAGCTTTACTATTACTAACATTCAACATTTTACTATCCTTTCATAGGTAAGTTGAGACAAAAGAATGTTTTACCAATCGCATCCACCTCTCACCAACTTTAAACGGACTCTCAACTGAAGTCTTTGTAAAGCTTTATACTTCTACCACCTAGTGGTGTGAACCCTACCAATGTCTGTTTTCATCACAAATACCAAAGGGGTGTGTGTGTGTGTGTGTGTGTGTAACGTTTGGCCCATGTATGTGTGTATACATATGCATTTCGTGTGTATATGCATATATACAGAGTCGTCTTTCTGGGAAAGGCAGACTCAAAAGCTAGGCAGGTGCTCTATCTACCACTTGGGCCACACCTCCTGATCTTTTTGCTCTTATTTTGGAGATAAGGTCTCACTTTCTGCCATATAACCTGAAAAAGTAAGATCATCTACAAAGAAAGTTGTCTTAGGGAAGTGCTTTGGGGTGATACCATTTATCGATTTGCAAGAAAAACATTAAAGATTATAATAAGCAGCACCACTTAATTGCTTAAATATTAGTAAAGGAAAGGGCATTTTACCCCTCATGGAGACGGCTAAGGGGCCAGTCACTCACGGTCTGGAAACAAGGGATACAGCCGTGTCCCTCTTTGAAGCTGAGCTGATGAGCCTGGAAACGTCTTGCTCTGGCAGCACCTGTCTTCAGCTCCTGCAGTAGAATGGGGTTCGCGTTCCCTTGTCCCCATGTTTGCCCTGCAGCTGCGGGGTTGTGTAATGCCTCCGTGCAAGGAGAGGCTCCTCCGCCAGACAGACACACTTAACATCCTGTTAGAGAATACTGATGGGCAGGTAACGGGCTGTGTTCAATGCTATTTGCCCTTTTCACTCCTGGTGGTCCTGTTCATTGGTTCAGCAAACATTCACAGTTTTCCAACTGACAAGATACAGAGAACTGCACTCATCAACGCCAAGAGTACTTTATACACCCCCACCAGGTACAGGGAGGGGATATTTGTTTTCCTTGTAATTATTTGAGGATCACACCTTCCTTGCTATTAAGAGTATCTGGAGAGACAAGGCAGAATTCTAATGAGTTTAACATTTTCATTTTTAAAATTTTTTAGGAAAAAAATTGCAGTCTTAATAAAAAACCTACTTCCCAGGTTCAAGGAATATGCTGGCCTTCCTATTTGCTAAGCAGATAATAAACCTCTGAACATAAACACTTGAATCTCACTTATTCATACGGATCAGTCTACAATGTGTAAAAGCCACCATCCCAGAAGACCACACATCACCTGCAGCTAAAGGAGTTTATGGTCAGCAGGGCCTGACATGGCCATCTCCTTCACGGGAGAGGGAGAAACGGTGCCTGTCCTTTGTTCAGCGTCAGATTTATAGGATCACTCAGCATGAGCCTGGATTCCGATTCAGATCTATCCTAGTTACTTCCTTGCAGGGAAACAAATACAACTGGTTAGGATGCCAAAGTCTCACTTCCCCCTCCAGCATACCCGGTCAGGTGTGGGCCCATAAAGACTTCCTCAGGATCCCAAGCCAGAAGCCACTCTGGGAAGTGGAGTGGGAGGAACAGGCAGGGCTGGAGGCCAGCTGCAGCTGGGCTGGTCCAGATCACCTGGGTTTGTGGCAGGGGCACGGGCATGAGATGGAGGGCCTGCTACTTCCCCCTTTTGCTGTTTAGTAAGTACAGGTCTCAGGCCGGGAATGTGGGCAGAGGCGGTTTCTTCTGGAGCTGCTTCCTGCTGTAAAGAGATGAAGTAGTGCTTGACCAGGTACCCTCTCAGGAGCATCTTTTTAATAAGAATGTTTAGCAGACACTTGTGTAGGCAAGGTATAATTAGAGAGAGTCAAAAAAATGGCTGCCAGGTGGTAAGGGGCTGCCAAAGACCTGTGAGTCCTGGTTGGGCCTTATAGCTATCTTTTTTTGTGTGGTTTTTTGGTCGGTCATGGTGGCTGAACTCTGGGCCTGGGCGCTGTCCCTCAGCTCTTCAGCTCAAGCCTAGCTCTCTACCACTTGAGCCACAGCGCCACTTCCGGCTTTTTCTGCTTATGTGGTGCTGAGGAATCAAATCCAGGGCCTCATGCATGCAAGGCAAGCGCTCTACCACCGAGCCACCGTCCCAGCCTATTACAGCTATCTTTTTTTTTTTTTTTATAGTTTTGATGCTTTGTTTTACTCTTCCAGGCATGTTAATATAGTAGCAACACTTTTTTTTTATTACAAATTAAGAATTTATTTAAAAGTTTTCATATTTTTAGAAATAAAAGGTTTAAAAAGCAAAACCTTGCAGAAATGGTAATTTTGTTATATCCTAATTGTCTAGGTGTTCTGTAAATTAATATAAAAATATACTTCAAATCTTTATAGAACAAAAAGAAAACCACATTAATCATTAGATACTTTTGAATTTTCTTTACTCCTCCCACAGTTGAACTCACAGGTTAAAAACTGATTTACATCCTGAAGAACAAATCTCCAGCAGCCAATACACAAATTAAACACTGTAATTACGTGCAAAGCTGTCGTAAAAATGTAGAAAGTACATAGACTTTGGGGAGTTATGTACTTCTCTTATTAAGTGACTGAAACTTTTAGATGGAAATCTTTGAAGAACTGTGAGGTGAATTTGTCAGTAATCTCAAAAATCCCAGACAGGAGAGGATCCTTCCTTCCTTCTCCTTCCATGTGGTTATCTTAAGGAAGGCCTGATGTAGTAAGAGAAAGCATTTTACAGACCCAAATCCAAGTTAATTGTCAACTAAAGACACCGCCTCTGATGTGGATGGTTTCATTCAATCCATGTTCTACCAACTTTATATCTTCTAGATCATCTTGTATGATGCTAATCAAGTGGCTAAGGCCTTCCTGTTGTTGTTTCAAATGCTGCTTGATTTCTCGTAATAGATCTGCATCTACATAGTATCTTTCTTCAGGTTTGACTGCTCCAAAATGATTCTGCATCCTGATCTGGGACATCAGTTCATTTAGCCGGCCCGTGAACTGAGTAGGTGCATTTAGTTCACACTGGATTGTATCTAACTGAACCCGCAACTGCTCTTCGTCAGCCTGGATGGCATAACCACTCTTTCTTTGAATTTCCTGTTTGATTAGGACCTGTAAAGTTCTATGGGACAGATCCATGAGTTTCCTCTTGTATTGTGCAATTTTGGCCATGGTTGTAGTCTGATTCTTTTGTAGTTCACTAATATCTTCAGATATGATATCTAATCTGGTCTGATGCTGCTTAGTCATCTGATCTTGAACCTTCAGTCTTCGAAGAAGTTCTTTGAAACCCACCATGGGTACAGGAATTAACTTTTCAGAATCAGGATTATCCACCTTGGCTTGTTCCCAAATAATAGGATCAACACCAGCAGGAGGATTCTGTAAAAGCTGTTTGATCTGTGCAGGAGAAAGTTCTGTTCTTGTCATAGAAAGTGTGACACCAAGTTGCTGCAACTGTGTTTTTATATTGGCTTGTTCAAAATGGGAGTAGAGTATTGTAGCTGGAACTCTTCTTGAGGTACCATTAGGAGAACGCTCAACAACATAAATGACAACTTCTGTCTGATCATCTGGCAATGTTTTAATACCCTCTACATTT